GAAGTGCACAATGCAGGGCGCTCAGAGCTGTTCCAGCTATATCCGAGAGTAAGTGTCCGGGTCCTGCGAGGGACTGTGAGAAAGACTTGTTTCTGGCAAGAAGCCTTTCGGAGGGGAAAGGAGGAAGGAATAACAATGGTTTTTAAAAGCGTATTTGGCAAAGGCCCTACAGGATGAAGTTTCACCAGTAGCATAGGAGTCCAAGGTAGCACCAAGAAGAAAACAATATTAATGTTGATTTCTATCGCAGCAGCTGGTAGCACCTCTCCTTCTCTTCCCCACTTTCCCACTTTATACTGAAAGGCCTCACCAAGCTCCACATTACCTGTCATTTACTTTATGTTACTTCTTTACAAAAAGTATCGATATACTGCTATATCACAAAAAACCCCAAAGTGGTTTACAATAATATTTTTATGTACCAATGCCACATAGCAATTTAAAACCAGAGATCATCAATTCATTATTACTGAAAAGTGTGCTTTTGATTGCCTATGTAAAGCCTGGTGGAATACAAAACTTTTCAGCAGGCCTTTAGAGGTTCAAACAGAAGGCGCCTGCTGAATCTCTGTTGGTAGAGGATCCTACAAGACTGGGCCGATGACACTATTTCGTTCTCCTTCGTGCTGAGGTCAGCTGCTCCTTGTCAACTGGGGGATGTTGTCACCACCAACACTCCTGCAGATGATCTCAGTGACTGAGCTGGGATCAGAGTTTAGACAGTCCCCAAGGTATTGCTGGACCGAAGTTGTTCAGGGCTTTGTAAATTGGCAAGGACCTTCATCCTGGTTGGCAGCAAATGGGCAGCCTGTGCAGATGTTCCAATAAGGGGGTCGTATATTGTTGGCCACGTGTCACCATCAGCAGTCTGGCTGCTGCATTCTGCTCCAGCTGGAGCTTCCAAGCCAGGCCCAAGGGCATTCCCACATAGGGTGCATTACAGCAATCAAGGTTACAGAAGCATTTCTGGCCTTTACAGAAATGATAGGGATACGAAATCCTGCGGCAAGACCTACTGTCATAATTGTTTCAGCCCAATGCTTTGACTCAAATTCCTAAAGGTTTTTACTCAAGCAAGCGACAAACCAGAACTGGAAGACCAGGCATTCTAAGCTTACCAAACCTTAGAACCCAGGTAGCAAAATGTGCTTTGTTAGCTACTCATTTTTCTGAACAGCTGAGCAGGAACTTAGTTCTGTAACCAACTCTACGCTGTTGTGACCTGGCCCTAAAACCTCATTGGTGTCAACTTTCTAGGCTCAGAAGGTCTTATGGCTCTGAAATCTACTTTAGAAACAGTCTGGCGTGAACCCCTCCAGTGATATCTCAAAGGGGGAGGAGTAATTACTAAACTATGAACCCAGGATTGTTCAGACCTTTCAGATGGAAGTCTGTCCCTGAAAGCTGTCCCAGGTTCTGATTCTGGCCAGCTCTATAATGCCACTTCCTAAAGCCACTTCTGGAACACCAGCAAAAAGACCCCAAAAACCAAGCCAAACCAAACAATCCCATAGCCTTATCATTTTCTTGTCCTGATTTGAGCTCCACAGTTGGCTCCAGCATCATCCCTTCCAGCTGAAGCATCTGGTAGGGATTTGCTATACCACAGTAAGTACTGCAATTCATTAGAATAATTTCTGGCTAATGAAGAGACGACAGCAAACTATCTTGCAAAGCCAAGTAATGAATCTATTAACCGAGGAAATGAATTCTGTGACACATAATAGCTTCCAAATCTAAGGAAGGAAGATGTTTTGAGCACAGAACACGAACCCCCCTGGAAGCTTTCACAATTGCTCTCCAGACCACCCATTCCCCCGTGGAAGCTGCAGCACTTGCTAGATTGGTTGCGTAAGGGTTGATAAGCATTTTGGTTTCTCTTGCGTATCGCGCGCACACACAAAAGATCCAGATAACTCATTTTCAATGCCATGTATTCACTATTATGCATTTCTTGCTTGGCAGGAACTGGACAGGTTCCAATACTTAATTGGCTCCATGACCACAAAGTTTTCAACGAGGGAGATTTCTGCACAACTAGATAGATAGATAGATAGATAGATAGATAGATAGATAGATAGATAGATGTGATGGGGAAGTGTTTATAAGTCGAATCCCCTTCTATGACCCAGAAGAGGGCACATCCCACTGCATAAGGAACACAAATCCTGAGCATTGTGTGGAAAAGACAATGATCACTCAAACTCATAATAATAATAAATAATAATAATAATAATAATAATAATAATAATAATAATAATAATAATTTATTATTTATACCCTGCCCATCTGGCTGTGCCTCCCCAGCCACTCTGGGCGGCTTCCATAGAAACCAAAAATACACTAAAATATCACACGTTAAAAACTTCCCTGAACAGGGCTGCCTTAAGATGTCTTCTGAATGTCAGGTAGTTGTTTATCGCTTTGACATCTCGTGGGAGGGCGTTCCATAGGGCGGGCACCACTACCGAGAAGGCCCTCTGCCTGGTTCCCTGTAGCTTTGCTTCTCGCAATGAGGGAACCGCCAGAAGGCCCTCGGCGCTGGACCTCAGCGTCCGGGCAGAACGATGGGGGTGGAGACGCTCCTTCAGGTATACTGGACCGAGGTCAGCACCAACACTTTGAATTGTGCTCGGAAACGTACTGGGAGCCAATGTAGGTCTTTCAAGACCGGTGTTATATGGTCTCGGCGGCCGCCCCCAGTCACCAGTCTAGCTGCCGCATTCTGGATTAGTTGTAGTTTCCGAGTCACCTTCAAAAGTAGCCCCACGTAGTCCAAGCAGGAGATAACCAGAGCATGCACCACTCTGGCGAGACAGTCCGCAGGCAGACAGGGTCTCAGCCTACGTACCAGATGGAGCTGGTAAACAGCTGTCCTGGAGACAGATTTGACCTGTGCCTCCATGGACAGCTGTGAGTCCAAAATGACTCCCAGGCTGCGCACCTGGTCCTTCAGGGGCACAGTTACCCCATTCAGGACCAGGGAATCCTCCACACCTGCCCGCCTCCTGTCCCCCAAAAACAGTACTTCTGTCTTGTCAGGATTCAACCTCACCCTCTGGTCTATGGGTCAGAAATACTGGTACTTGTGTGTAGTCCTTACCCTCCAGTTTTGGGGACTACCAACACTTAGGATTGGGATCACAGGTGATTGCATAGTAAATCATATTAAGCAGCTGACTGTTCAGCTAGTTGGGAAGAGGAAGACTAGTGTCATCCATATATATATATATATATATATATATAGGATTACGCTCTATTAGATCTTATCTTTAAGCAACAAGAACAAACAGCAAACTTTGCCCTGTACACCCCTAAAAATAACTGTGACCTGAACCCCATAAAATCGGGGCTTTTCTTCCCAAAACGGGGTAGATCACTGCCAGTTTTTAACTCTGTAAGTAGATCACAGTCTCTTGGGAGTTGGCCACCCCTGTTCTATGTGAAACCCACCCTGCCATTCTTCCTTAAAAAAGAACAGAAGCTGCCACCTTGTGGTCAAGAGCTCATATTTAACAGATTGACTCATTCATGCATGATGTAGCAGCAACATGTTCTGTAATGCACATGCAGATGCATGTTAGCCACATTCCCAACATATGTAAGTACAAACTTCTAAAAAATATTGTATATTTACAGAGCCATAGATTTATTGACCTTAGGACGGCTTACTTTACTCTTTTCGGCTCCTGCTGAAAACATTTTTTGTTTACATACATAGATAATTTTATTTACGTATATGCTGCCTTTCCAAACCATGCTCAAGGTTACTTTAAAAAAGTGGAAGAAACACACAACTACAACATAACAAAAGTAGTCATAATCAATAAATGAAATATTAAAAAATAACTAAACTGAACCATTTCCACAGAAATCACAAGATCTAAAATAAAACCAATATCAAGAACAGCAACAATGCCCCCCAAACAAGACCCCAGCGCAAGAACCTATAAACCTATCCAGACTTACAGATCGTTGACATATGTTTTAAGCTGGTCTTTAGCTTATTGTTGATTTTTTTTTCTTTAGGTTTTAGACCGTTATTTTAAATTGATAACACTGCTTTGTTTTTTAACAATCAAGCAGTATATAAATTTTATGAAATAAAACAACAATAGATTTCAACTTGTTTTTTTAAAAAACAAATAAAAGGATTTCACAGTGTTGGTGCTGACCTTTAAAGCCCTAAACGGCCTGGTCCAGTATATCTGAAGGAGCATCTCCACCCCCATTGTTCTACCCGGACACTGAGGTCCAGCGCTGAGGTCTTTCTGGTGGTTCCCTCACTGCGAGAAGCCAAGTTACAGGGAACCAGGCAGAGGGCCTTCTCGGTAGTGGCGCCCGCCCTGTGGAACGCCCTCCCACCAGATGTCAAAGAGAACAACAACTACCAGACTTTTAAAAGACAACTGAAGGCAGCCCTGTTTAGGGAAGCTTTTAATGTTTGATGGATTATTGTATTTTAATATTTTGTTGGAAGCCGCCCAGAGTGGCTGGGGAAGCCCAGCCAGGTGGGCGGGGTAATAATAATAATAATAACAACAACAATAATAATAATAATAATAATTCTCTTGGCCCTGTTGCTTAGACAGCCTGGCTGCCCTGCTCAGAGAGGGCGAACCGGGCACTCGCTGCTCCCCCTCCCAATTACCTTCATCCTTTTGCCCATTTGCTACCTTGAGCACCTGCACTTCGCCATATCTGCCATGCCATGTTGCCGAGTAGCACTGCAGTCCAGGGAGGTGGGGAAATGAACAGAAGGATATCGCGCCAGTTGGTTTAAAGCAGGGGTCCCCCAACTCGGCCCTCCAGATGTTTTAGGACTACAACTCCCATCATCCCTAGCTAACAGGACCAGTGGTCAGGGATGATGGGAATTGCAGTCCCAAAACATCTGGAGGGCCGAGTTGGGGGATGCCTGGTTTAAAGTGACTCTCTGCTACCATAAAAAATGTGGACCAGCATATCAGTTCTAAGAGAACATAAAAGAAATAATTTACCTGGCTCTTGTGCGACTTTGGATTTCGGTTTCACACAGATGATTCTGGATTTCATGGGTGCCGCCTGCTGTGGCTCCTGGCGCTCTTTCTGTATGTCAGTCATTAAATGTCATGTTAGACCATCAACTAGATGTTGGAATGTTCAGAACAAACAAAAAAAGGCTTAATAGGAACAAAAGAAGCTGCCTTATACCAAGGCAGGCCACTGTTCCTCCCAGCTCCCATCAGATCTCAAAGAGATAAACAACTACCTAACATTTAGAAGACATCTGAAGGCAGCCCTGTTCAGGGAAATTTTAATGTATTTTTCATCTTTGTTGGAAGCCGCCCAGAGTGGCTGGGGAAACCCAGCTAGACAGGCGGGGTACAAATAATAAATTATTATTATTATTATTATTATTATTATTATTATTATTATTATTACTAGCTCAGTATTGTCTACACGGACTGGCAGCGACCTTCCAGGGTTTCAGCAAGGGAACCTTTCTCAGCCCTTCTTGTAGATGCTGCTGGAGTTTGAACCAGGGACCTTCTGATTGCAGATGCCCTACCACTGAGCTATAGCTCCCCCCCTCCCCATTTCAAAAAACTCGTTTAAGAAAAAAAGGTGCATTAACTATGCATTTATCTTTTCTTAGAAAAGTGTGGATCGTAATGCAAGTCCATCTTTTCAGATAAGACTACAACCAAGAAGTAAAATTGAGCTGATTAAATGTGATTGTCCGTGGTTGTCAAATGTGCTAGCTGGGACAAAGGAAGGCACCGGTGCTGTGGACATAATTCAACAAGAAGGCAGGCACCGTTCCATACCCTCCAACATTTCTCCGATGAAAACAGGGACGTCCCATTCTATAACGATAATTTTACTATTTACAACCCCACACATCTTACTGGGTTGCCCCAGCCACTCTAGGCAGCTTCCAACAAATATAAAAACCTCTCTGATAGTCCCAAAATTGTGAACTCCCTCTCTACCCTTGTCTTTTGACACCTGAGCTATATATTTTAGGACCCACAGTATTCTCTTGCTCGCAATCTGTTTTAACTGTTTTTCATGTTGTGCTTTTAAATGTAACCCGCCCTGGGATGTCACGGTGAAGGAAAATCAATAAAGGAAAACTAAGGTAAAGGTAAAGGGACCCCTGACCATTAGGTCCAGTCGTGGCCGACTCTGGGGTTGCGCCGCTCATCTCGCTTTATTGGCCAAGGGAGCCGGCATACAGCTTCTGGGTCATGTGGCCAGCATTGACTAAGCCAATTCTGGCGAACCAGAGCAGTGCACGGAAAACGCCATTTACCTTCCTGCCGGAGCGGTACCTATTTATCTACTTGCACTTTGGCGTGCTTTCGAACTGCTAGGTTGGCAGGAGCTGGGACCGAGCAACGGGAGCTCATCCCGTGCGTGGGCATTCGAACCACCGACCTTCTGATCGGCAGGTCCTAGGCTCTGTGGTTTAACCCACAGCGCCACCCACGCCCTCAAAGGAAAACTAATAACTAATAAATAGGAAAAATAATAAAGAACAACTGAAGGCAGCCCCACCTTATGTTGGGTGACATTAACACAATCCAAACAGTCTAGGTGTTTTGTTTGCAAAAATTCACACACAAACCCACAATGTATTTAGGTACAGTAAGCCTGCAACTTACATGGGGGTTATGTTCCGGGGATTGCGCATAAAGACAAAGTAATGTATAGTCAAAACTATACAAGGTTCAAGGGTGGGTGGGATTGCCTCAATTTTTCTCTCAAACTCCGCAACCTTTTTGCCCCTTTTAACTTTTTTTGTCCATGCGTGTTAGATGTGTGCAAGTTGCAGGTTTACTGTCCTGGTCTACAAAAGATGCATTACCTGGGATACGCCGTCCAAGCACGGTGCCAAATTGCTATCTCCCTGCGCTGTTGGAGAAACTGGTCGATCCAGCTCAGCCATGGTCATTGGCCCACAAGTAGCAGCAGCGCCTCCAATAACTTCTCCTGAGAGATTTAAACCAGATTTAAAGCACATAGCAAAGCTAAAATTAAAAACAAAATAATAAGGTAAAGGTAAAGGTACCCCTGCCCGTACAGGCCAGTCTTGCCAGACTCTGGGGTTGTGCGCCCATCTCACTCAAGAGGCCGGGGGCCAGCGCTGTCCGGAGACACTTCCGGGTCACGTGGCCAGCGTGACGAAGCTGCATCTGGCGAGCCAGCGCAGCACACGGAACGCTGTTTACCTTCCCGCCAGTAAGCGGTCCCTATTTATCTACTTGCACCCGGGGGTGCTTTCGAACTGCTAGGTTGGCAGGCGCTGGGACCGAGCAGGGGAGCGCACCCCGCCGCGGGGATTCGAACCGCCGACCTTTCGATCGGCAAGCCCTAGGCACTGAGGCTTTTACCCACAGCGCCACCCGCGTCCCAAGATTAAAAACAAAATAATACATTACTCCAAAAACAACCCTAATGAATCAAAGCGAGAGGGACCGCCATCCTCCCAAGCACCTGGGATTCTCTTGGCTGCGAAGGTGCTATTTAGACTCATTTGTAGGCTACCCTCAAAAGAAAAAAAGCAATTCTCTTGCCTACTCATCATACTCTGAGCACAACTCCCATGTCAAAAAGTAGGGGGGCTCTTTGTACTTCTCTGCGTGCGTACTGGTGATTTTTTTCTGGAACAACTGCAGCGTGGACTTTGCCAAGAGCCTGAGAAAGCTTTGAAACTGAAAAATCCTCAGCTTGTTCTCATTGGCATCACAAAAAGGTTTTAGCCATAAATCTCTTTAATATCACCCTTTTGAAATTTTTGCACATTGGAAAAAAGAAAACCACAGTGAATGTTTTTGAAGAGGGTTGGCACAGACAAAATGAGGCCAATCTTTTAACTGGAGATGGGAGTGTTACGTTTGCTATAACTGCGGTTAACGCTGGTACCAACCAGGTCCCCTGCTTGACTAAAGATTTTGAACTAGTGGCCTTAATGCAGTTAGCTTAAGAGTCCTGGTTAAGTAAGGAATCCATCTAGCTCAAAACTTTGGTTGATGCTGGTGCTGATGTATTGCTGAATCACAGCTTGGGGGGAATTTGTGTCGGAGACAGGGGAATGCAGCATTCAATCACATGGTTAAGAGACTAGCCCTGTTGCATCAGCACTGGCCCAGACTGACTTTGTGGAATAATTTATTTTTATGCAGAGCAGACATTAATGCACAACCTCAGAGCTCCTAAGAATCCAAGCACATGAATTTATGAGCCTTCCAAGCAGATAGGTACATTATAAAGGTTTGCAGCACAGAAAGTCATTTTATTATGTGGACAAGCAAAATAACCCAGCACACTCTAATTAAAAACAGAGTAATTTGCTGCAAGATGCACAACACATTTGCAGACTCTCTGAAAGGAACAGTATAACCTGTTGCAACATCAACAGCACTGAGCCGACTGCACTTCGACTCAGAGCTGAAATTTTTATAGCTAAGCCATTAGCTACAGAAAACACTGATTTATACTGGAAATGTTGATAGCGCCACAATTATCACTTGGCAGCTCAAGCAGACATGACCAGCTCATAAACTCTTGGAACCACTCACAGAATTTATGACATACAAAGCAAAGGCAGCTCACAAGACTGAAGACATGCTATAGGCCATGAGCCCTGGAATGCTGTACTGTATCAGTTGCCACGTGATTATTCCCCCCCCCAATATCCAAACCGAACCCCCACTTTTAAGCAGAAAGATTAGCATAATATGTATTTCTTCAATACATACACAAGGTCAGACTCTGGAAATATGTAATATTTTATAAGAAGGTGATGTAATGGGCTATTTGATTGTTAAACTTCTAAATTATAACACAGGAACAAGACTGAAATAAAAAACAGCACTTAACCATAACTGTTGATGGATTGATGCATGGTCTCATGCTGCACCTTATACATATAATTTTTTAAAAAAGGAATTAGCCTCAAAAGTGGCAGCCATTCAAAAAATAATAATTACCAAGAATTTTAGTTTTTCCTGGAAAAGACTCTTGTGTGTTGAATGCGCTATTCTAACTGAGCTGTGTTTTTTTCCTGCTTTTGCAAAATAAAAGCGCTACTCATGGAGAAGTTAGAGGTTTTCCTACCAGGTTGTTTTCTGGAAGTGGTTAACAAAGAGATCAACATAGGAAGGTGCTTTATATATAGCCAGACAATCAGCTATCCTGGAAAAACGTGAAAAGTGGGGTGCCACAGGGTTCTGTCCTGGGCCTATTGTTGTTCAACGTCTTTATAAATGATATGGACAAAGGAATTGAGGGGATGCTCATTAAATCTGCAGGTGACACCAAACTCGGAGGGGTAGCTAATGCCACAGAAGAAAGAATCGGGATTCAAAACAACAGATTGAAGAACAGATTGAAGAACTGGGCACAAACTAACAAAATGCATTTCAATAGGGACAAGTGTAAGGTTCTTCACTTAGTCAGGAAGAATCAGATACATAAATATAGGATGGGGGATACCTGGCTTACTAGCAGTACATGTGAAAAGGATCTAGGGGTCTTGGTGGACCACAAGTTTAACATGAGTCAACTGTGTGATGCAGCAGCAAAAAATGCTAGTGCTATTCTAGGCTGCATCAACAGAAGTATAGTGTCCAGATCAAGGGAAGTAATAGCACCACTCTATTCTGCCTTAGTCAGTCCACACTTGGACTGTTTGGGGCACAACAATTTAAGAAAGATGTTGACAAGCTGGAACATGTGCTGAGGAGGGAAAGATGATAAAGGGTATGGAAACCAAGCCTTATGAGGAGTGGTTGAAGGAGTTGGGCACATCTTGAATCCTGACAAGACAGAAGTACTGTTTTTGGGGGACAGGGGGCGGGCTGGTGTGGAGGACTCCCTGGTCCTGAATAGGGTAACTGTGCCCCTGAAGGACCAGGTACGCAGCCTGGGAGTCATTTTGGACACACAGCTGTCCATGGAGGCGCAGGTCAATTCTATGTCCAGGGCAGCTGTCTACCAACTCCACCTGGTACGCAGGCTGAGACCCTACCTGCCCGCGGACTGTCTCGCCAGAGTGGTGCATGCTCTAGTTATCTCCTGCTTGGACTACTGCAATGTGCTCTACGTGGGGCTACCTTTGAAGGTGACTCGGAAACTACAACTAATCCAGAATGCGGCAGCTAGACTGGTGACTGGGGGCGGCCGCCGAGACCACATAACACCGGTCTTGAAAGACCTACATTGGCTCCCAGTATGTTTCCGAGCACAATTCAAAGTGCTGGTGTTGACCTTTAAAGCCCTAAATGGCCTCGGCCCAGTATACCTGAAGGAGCGTCTCCACCCCCATTGTTCTGCCCGGACGCTGAGGTCCAGCGCCGAGGGCCTTCTGGCGGTTCCCTCATTGCGAGAAGCAAAGCTACAGGGAACCAGGCAGAGGGCCTTCTCAGTAGTGGCGTCCGCCCTGTGGAATGCCCTCCCATCAGATGACAAAGCGATAAATAACTACCTGACATTCAGAAGACATCTTAAGGCAGCCCTGTTCAGGGAAGTTTTTAACGTGTGATATTTTACTGTATCTTTGGTTTCTATGGAAGCCGCCCAGAGTGGCTGGGGAAACCCAGCCAGATGGGCGGGGTACAAATAAATAAATAAATAAATAAATAAATAAATAAATAATTAATAATAATAATAATAATAATAATAATTTAGCCTGGAAAAGAAGGGACTGAGAAGAGATATGCATTACACTGCTAACCAGTAGCAGGGGACATTTTCAAGCAAATTCTGTACTCTATTTAGGAAACCCCCAGAAAAAAATTTAAATTTAAATTTGCACCTGCAAGCCTGTCATATTGTCCCGGAGATGCTGCACGCTGAGGTGACTTTTTAGAAACCCGGCTGCTAGGCTGGTCCATGTAAACGCCACGTCCCATCAGGATGGTTTCTGCAGCTTCCGTCAGCTTCGGCCTCTGCCCCTCGCTGAGTTCCCCAGCACTGTCACTTGTGTTCTGGAGTAAAAGGGAGAGAAACAGAGGTGAGAGAAGGGAGGGGGCAATATTCCGTCCTTCTAGCAATCATCCAGACTATGAGGCAGATTTCCTCCCCACACAGAGTGGAGCATGGGATCACAGGTGTGATCTGTTCTATTTTGAGAAATGAACATACCTCACTCCGACAGATCTCCTCCTGGGAAGCAAGTGGTGCTTGGTTTAGTCTTGAGAAAAGGGAGAGCACTGGGTCCTTGTGGTATCCTCTGTGAGGTCTGTGTAACACTTGTCCTTCGCTTGGAGGATCAAAATCCTGAAAGATGAACAACGACATACTTTTAAAAAAAAATATGCATAAAACACAGTCAAACCTCGGCTCCCAAACGCTGAAAACCCGTAAGTAAATGCTGCGGTTTTCGAATGTTTTTGGGAACCCGAACGTCCGATGTGACTTCTGCTTGAGTGCAAGAAGTTCTTGCAACCAATGGAAGCTGCACCTTGGTTGTCGAACATTTCGGAAGCTGAATGGTTCGGTTCGACAACTGAGGTTTGACTGTAAAAGCATTCATTACTGAGGTCAGTCACTCTTCTGAAGCCTTGGGAGACTCTCTCAATGACACAGTAGTTTAGTGCATAGGGGCATCAACACACTCTGTGCTGCTGCAATTATGATCACCATCATCATCATTATTAGTGTTCCACATATGGTCCAAGGTGATGTACAAAATATCCTGAAGGAGTGTCTTCACCCCCATTGTTCAGCCCGGACACTGATGTCCAGCACTGAGGGCCTTCTGGCAGTTCCCTCATTGTGAGAAGTGAAGCTACAAGGAACCAGGTAGAGGGCCTTCTTGGTAGGGGTGCCATCCTGTGGAACGCCCTCCTGTCAGATGTTAAGGAGATGAGTAATTATATAACATTTAGGAAACATCTGAACGCAGCCCTGTATAGGGAAGCTTTTTAAGGTTTAATGTTTTACTATGTTTTTATATATGCTGGAAGGTGCCCAGAGTGGCTGGGGCAACCCAGTAAGATGGGCGGGGTACAAACAAACAATTATTTTTTCACTGTTTTGTAATAGCTTTTATTATTATTATATAATCTCACTCATCCATTCACTCCTAGCTTTGGTTTAGCTTAGAGATACCGTATTTTTTGCTCTATAAGACTCACTTTTTCCCTCCTAAAAAGTAAGGGGAAATGTGTGTGCGTCTTATGGAGCGAATGCAGGCTGCGCAGCTATCCCAGAAGCCAGAACAGCAAGAGGGATTGCTGCTTTCACTGCGCAGCAATCCCTCTTGCTGTTCTGTCTTCTGAGATTCAGAATATTTTTTTTCTTGTTTTCCTCCTCCGAAAACTAGGTGCGTCTTGTGTCTGGTGCGTCTTATAGAGCGAAAAATACGGGTATGTGCAAAACTCAGCCACTGCCTCTGACCAAACCGGCCCATTTGTCTATCTGGACCATTTAGAGATGGCTACCTGGGGGGACATCCTGGAAAGTGAAGTCAAATGGGCCTTAGAAAGCATCGCTAATAACAAGGCCAGTGGAAGTGATGATATTCCAGCTGAATTATTTAAAATTTTAAAAGATGATGCTGTTAAGGTGCTACACTCAATATGCCAGCAAATTTGGAAAACTCAGCAGTGGCCAGAAGATTGGAGAAGATCAGTCTACATCCCAATCCCAAAGAAGGGAAGTGCCAAAGAATGCTCCAACTACCGCACAATTGCACTTATTTCACACGCTAGCAAGGTTATGCTTAAAATTCTACAAGGCAGGCTTAAGCAGTATGTGGACCGAGAACTCCCAGAAGTGCAAGCTGGATTTAGAAGAGGCAGAGGAACCAGAGACCAAATTGCAAACATGCGCTGGATTATAGAGAAAGCTAGAGAGTTCCAGAAAGACATCTACTTCTGCTTCATTGACTATGCAAAAGCCTTTGACTGTGTCGACCACAGCAAACTATGGCAAGTTCTTAAAGAAATGGGAGTGCCTGATCACCTCATCTGTCTCCTGAGAAATCTCTATGTGGGACAAGAAGCTACAGTTAGAACTGGATATGGAACAACTGATTGGTTCAAAATTGGGAAAGGAGTACGACAAGGCTGTATATTGTCCCCCTGCTTATTTAACTTATATGCAGAATTCATCATGCGAAAGGCTGGGCTGGATGAATCCCAAGCCGGAATTAAGATCGCCGGAAGAAATATCAACAACCTCAGATATGCAGATGACACAACCTTGATGGCAGAAAGTGAGGAGGAATTAAAGAACCTTTTAATGAGGGTGAAAGAGGAGAGCGCAAAATATGGTCTGAAGCTCAACATCAAAAAAACGAAGATCATGGCCACTGGTCCCATCACCTCCTGGCAAATAGAAGGGGAAGAAATGGAGGCAGTGAGAGATTTTATTTTCTTGGGCTCCATGATCACTGCAGATGGTGACAGCAGCCACGAAATTAAAAGACGCCTGCTCCTTGGGAGAAAGGCGATGGCAAATCTAGACAACATCTTAAAAAGTAGAGCCATCACCTTACCAACAAAGGTCCGTATAGTTAAAGCCATGGTTTTCCCAGTAGTGATGTATGGAAGTGAGAGCTGGACCATAAAGAAGGCTGATCGCCGAAGAATTGATGCTTTTGAATTATGGTGCTGGAGGAGACTCTTGAGAGTCCCATGGACTGCAAGAAGATCAAACGCATCCATTCTTAAGGAAATCAGACCTGAGTGCTCACTGGAAGGACAGATCGTGAAGTTGAGGCTCCAATACTTTGGCCACCTCATGAGAAGAGAAGACTCCCTGGAAAAGACCCTGATGTTGGGAAAGATGGAGGGCACAAGGAGAAGGGGACGACAGAGGATGAGATGGTTGGATAGTGTTCTCGAAGCTACAAACATGAGTCTAACCAAACTGCGGGAGGCGGTGGAAGACAGGAGTGCCTGGCGTGCTCTGGTCCATGGGGTCACGAAGAGTCGGACACGACTAAACGACTAAACAACAACAACAACCTGGGGGGAATCCAGTTTTCTGCTGCCGCCACCCTGAAGACCCCATCAATTTTGGCAGTGTCTAGTTAAATGATTTCATTACCATCTCATGGGCATCATGAAGAGTGCTGGTCATACTGTCACTTAGATTTGGAAGAGACAATCCTCCTTCTGCAAAAGCTGGAAGGAAAAACATAACAAGCATGCACTTACGCACGGTAGGCGAAGACACAAATCCATTCCACTTGCAAAACAAGAGGAGGTTACAAACAAGGACTGAAACAAGTTTTGGCACAGAGGGTTCCAAGCTTTCAGGTGGGGGGGGGAAGGTTCTCCCTACCTTTCCCCCTCCTGCATTTATTTTCAGGCCACTGTGCAGTTCTTCCACCCCACAACTTCTCTGCTTTCTTTCGGGTGGGGTCACACCATAAATGCAATGACACCACAGCATTACACAGCCAATCAGATCTGGAGGCATGTAGGGCTGGGCGACAGCAGCTTTTCAACATGGTGGTGTATCGTCAGCCAAGCATCGCGGTTTGGCGATACACTGCGATTTTGAAAAAACAAGATGCATTGGTCTCTGCCTGCAAGACACCGGGTGAAACTGCCCCAGCTCTCACCTTGAGAGGGGACATAGCTTCACCCAGGCTCGGACAATGCACCTTGTTTTTGCCGCTCAGCTGGGGGGAGGGAATGAAAGCTTACACCAAGAATTAACTTAGTTGGTCTCCAAGGTGCTACTGGACAATTTTTATTTTTATATATATTCCTCCCAGCTGAGACAGCCCGTGCTCTTGCAGCTCGCATACGAGCGGGCAGAGGATCAAGGTTTCTTTAACTGCTCACCTGGGCAGTTTCATGGAGCCCCCACACTGCCCCCGGCTCACAGGAGTCAGCGCCAGGCTGGGGGCTCCTTTAACTGCTCGACTGAGGCAAGAACAGCTGCACACTCCTCAGTCGAGCAGTTTAAAGAGGGAAGAACAAGCTGCTATTGGCTTTCTCTCTCTGTGTCGTATGAGGGCAGACTGGGATGGTGGTTCTACACTAGTGATATATTGCTGAATGGAACCGCTACTGCTCTTGATTCCCTCCAGCAGACGCTGCTAGGAGAGGGACCCAGGAGCACTGACGGTTTCACCAGCGATATACCACTGAGTGAAGCCAACATCACGGTCAGCTCCTCATACCGGTCCTGGGCGATAAATTGATATATTGCCCAGGCCTAGTGGCATGAGAGTGTCACGGATGGCAAACTGTTTTGCTCCAGCTCTGAAATAGTCAGTGTTGTGGTGTAAGGGAAGAAATAATGCATCCCCATTGCAAAAAGATAATGCTTTGTTTTGCCAAGCTGAAAGAGTTTAATTAATTTAAAGCAGGGGAACGTTTAAAAAAGATAGGCTTCCTCTCCCTTGTAGTAAGGTAAAGGGACCCCTGACCATTAGGTCCAGTCGTGGCCGACTCTGGAGCTGCGGCGCTCATCTCGCTTGACTGGCCAAGGGAGCTGGCATACAGCTTCCGGGTCATGTGGCCAGCATGACTAAGCCGCTTCTGGCGAACCAGAGCAGCGCACGGAAACGCTGTTTACCTTCCCGCCGGAGAGGTACCTATTTATCTCCTTGCACTCTGACGTGCTTTCGAACTGCTAGGTTGGCAGGAGCAGGGACCGAGCAACGGGAGCTCACCCCGTGCGTGGGGATTCGAACTGCCGACCTTCTGATCGGCAAGTCCTAGGCTCTGTGGTTTAACCCACAGCGCCACCTGCGCCCCCTCCCTTGTAGTATGTAGTGAATTCTACCAGAATTCTACCACCTCCACCACCGCCTGATATGACCTCCAGAAGAAAAAACAAGTTGCTGATTATAGGAACAAAGGAAACTGCTGGCTCCCAAATCAGACCAATGATGCACCTAACTCAGTATTGTTTGAACTCACTGGCAGAGGATGGAATTTGGGCCATTTCTGCATGCAAATCAGATTCCCTGCCACTGAGCTATGGGCCCTTCCACATGTTCCATAAGTCTTGCAAGATGACTGTCAGGGAACTGCCATCAGTGCCGGAGGGAGAGAGCAAAAGCCAGAGGGATTCCAGAGAGCATCCAGGGATTGGGAGAAGCAGCCCATCTTCTGGGGAAGAGAATCAGCGTAGCACCAGTGGAGAAGGGGGGCAGATGGGGGAAGCGGCAAGGTGGTCCCATGACTCCTTGCCTGAGACCAGCGGGGAGAGTAGGGGTCCTCCGTTGCCCACGCCCTACTTGCGCACAAGGCTTTCGCGCAGAGAGGGTAGGCGGAGACTAGGCGTCAAAGAGCTTCTTTGCTGGAAGAAGTTTAAGAAACGCCCACTGACGGATTCTGCCAGCGACTGAGTCAGCCACGGGTGAGTGGCGTCCGGACAGATAAAGTTTACTTTGGCAGCCCAGCCAGGTGTTTTCACCCAGCCAGGGAGATAGTTGCCCGCTTGTGCACGAGCAACCCCTTAGAAACCATTACAGTCACCCTCAGAGCTCTCACACTATTAAGAGGGGATGTATTCAGTCTTGGAACAATTAGAAAATCAAAAACAAAATGCTAAAGAAAAAGAGCTGGAAATAGCCTCACCTTTTGCAGCCAGCAGCTGTCCATAACTGTACAGAATTTCTCCTTCTGAGATTGGCCTCCCCGTGGTCTCAGTTTCCGTGGCGGTCAGACTGCTCTCTGTGGAAAGGCCAGAACTGGGGGTGGGCACAGAAGGGGATGGAGCCCTGGGCTCCTGCAGGGGCGGTTCGTCGGGCTCAGTTGGCTCAGGAGCTGGCAAGACCAAAGTGTCCGGCTCTTCGTGTTTGGCCACAGACATTATGCTAAAAATGACAAATAATAATAATAATAAAGAGCACCGTCAAAAACTGATGCCACACATTACTAACATTGCTTAAACCTTCACCAGTTTGTCAAAAATGTCTTTTCTGTCTTTAATTTTACTTGTCCACAAAATGGGGTTTTTTTATGATCACACTTGTTTGGGCAACGTTAGAGCGTAATCTGTTAGGATATTGATGTTCCGTTCCACCCGAACAGATGTGTGGAGCTGTTGTATGTCACATGTCTGTTTACATTCCAGCACAGCTTGCTGGGAACTTCCGTTTGTGTATAGCTTTTGCCTTATGCTTCTTGCTCTTAGACATGAAGGAGAACTGACATGTTTTCTTTGTCTTGATCTATGGTGAATAGACTGCTTGTAAATATGCTTCACATATGCCTCTGTCCGCCCTTCTGTCGCGAAGAGTTAATTACTCTGCTGATTAGAGCGTGGTCCAGCTTCTGAAGAGTTCTGAAGTTGCGGGTCGCTGTTTGATGCTGTTCCAAGGACCGGAGATCACCCAGCTACTGGCCAGTGGGCCAGAGCCAGCTGGGGGCCTGCAAATTGCCCCCATTTCCTTGGATGCATCCCAACATAATCAACAAAAATGAAAAACGGTTCGCTATAAAATAATGCACAACTCACAGACACTCTGGCTGGATCAGGACAATTCATCTCAGCTCTCTCCCTTCTGCTTCCTTGCTAACAGTACCTGTTCCCTCTAAATAACAACTACTCATCACGCCCACTTCAGGTAATAGTGCCAAGAGGACAACTCCTTCCTTGGCAAAAAACCTAGCTAGCTAGCCTCAAAGTGCACTGCTTTATGGGTGAATCACTGTTAAGGTGACCCGGAAACTGCAATTAATCCAGAATGCAGCAGCTAGACTGGTGACTGGGAGTGGCTGCCGGGACCACAAAACACTGGTCCTGAGAGGTCTGCATTGGCTCCCAGTATATTTCTGAGCACAATTCAAAGTGTTGGTGCTGACCTTTAAAGCCCTAAACGGCCTCGGTCCTGTATACCTGAAGGAGCGTCTCACCCCCATCGTTCAGCCCGGACACTGAGATCCAGCGCCGAGGGCCTTCTGGCGGTTCCCTCATTGAGAGAAGTGAGGTTACAGGGAACCAGACAGAGGGCCTTCTCGGTAGTGGCGCCCGCCCTGTGGAACGCCCTCCCTTCAGATGTGAAGGAAATAAGCAGCTATCTTCTCTTTAAAAGACATCTGAAGGCAGCCCTTTTTAGGGAAGTTTTTAATGTTTAATGCTGTATTGTGTTTTTAATATTCGATTGGGAGCCGCCCAGAGTGGCTGGGGAAACTCAGCCAGATGGGCGGGGTATAAATAACAAATAATTATTATTATATTATAATTACGTACCAATATTTCACCAATATTTCACTGAATGTTTCTTGATAGACTCTCTTTTTTACTGATACGTTTCATTTTTATATAAGAATTTAATATTAATAATAGTAGCATTTGTTCATCAACTTTCCACAAAAAGGCGACTCAAAAGAGGACTTCTAGAGCCATAAAACGCACAAGGCTGACAAACATTTATAAGCAAACACAGTGGTAAAAAGGATAGAACCTAAACTGCCCAGGTGTGCACCACAAAAAGGCCTCTGAATGCCAGTTGCTGGGTATCACTAGCAGATCAGGACCTGTTTGCGAGTTCCCAGCTGGGATCTGGCTGGCCATTGTGAGAACAGAATGCTGGACGAGATGGGCCATTGGTCTCATCTGGCAAGCTCTTCTTATGTTGTTAATCAACCCAAAGCCAGGGGAAACAAGGGTCTCTGAAAGTTGACAGTGATGCCTCCAGGAGTGTTAAAATGTTGTAGTTATAGATTTTTCTTTTTTAGCAATCTTATTGCGTTTTATGTAAACCACTACGGGATTTTGCATATTAAGTTGAATATAAATATTAGTAATAAATCAGTACTTCTCTTTTTTGTTGCAGCTAAGAAGTTTGCAAGAGGAAGATTGGAAGGTGATTTTTTGTCAAGTGTTACGACTCACAGAGGTGCTGGGCGATAGCTCCCTTCTTCTTCACTCTGCAGGCTGGGCTTCTCTTCTTCCAGAGGAAGTTCTGCATCTCCCCAGGGGTTCGGAGGCGTCTGCCTTTCCACCACTCCTCTGCCTGGGACATGCTCGGATACAGGAGGGCTCGGTGTGGCTACTCTGGGTGGTGAAGCCACAGGGGTGACCACAGGGGTAGCCACTGGGCTGATGGCGGCTCCAGCCTTGGATCCTACAAAAAGAAGGGATAAAGAAATGCCAAGCCAAGCTATGTTGCTGCAGCAAAAGAATGTATGCCTTTTCCCTGCAAACATTCCGCTTGCTGCATGGAGCAAATATACACTTGACAGTCCAGACTGGTCAAGAACAAATAATAATAATAAATAATAATAATAATAATAATAATAATAATAATAATAATAATAATAATAATAATAATTTATTATTTATACCCAGCCCATCTGGCTGGGTTTCCCAGCAACTTTGGGCGGCTTCCAATCAAGTGTTAAAAACAATACAGCATCAAACATTAAAAACGTCCCTAAACAGGGCTGCCTTTTAAAAGTAAAATAGTTGTTTATTGCCTTGGTATCTGCTGGGAGGGCGTTCCGCAGGGCAGCCGCTACTACCAAGAAGGCCCTCTGCCTGGTTCCCTGTAACCTCACTTCTCGCAGGGAGGGAACCGTCAGACGGCCCTCGGTGCTGGACCTCAGTGTCCGGGCTGAACAATGGGGTTGGGGAGGCTCCTTCAGGTATACTGGACCAAGGCCATTTAGGGCTTTAAAGGTCAGCACCAACACTTTGAATTGTGCTCGGAAACTTACTGGGAGCCAATGTAGGTCTTTCAGGACCGGTGTTATGTGGTCTCGGCGGCCACTCCCAGTCACCAGTCTAGCTGCCGTATTCTGGATTAACTGCAGTTTCCGAGTCACCTTCAAAGGTAGCCCCACGTAGAGCTCAATGCAGTAGTCCAAACTAATTGCTTTGAGTTTCTATTCCCGATTGCTTTGAAGTTCTGAAAGTTCCCCGAGTCTGTTTTTGATGGAATTACAAACTTGGTGGATCAGGGAAATGCTGTGGCCATGATGTATCTCGATTTCAGAAAGGCTTTTGACAATGTCCCCCATCATATGCTCGAGAGCAAGCTGGTAAAAGGTGGGCTGAACATTTTCCGACTTGAAGATTCAATGATTCTACAATTCTATTATTCTATGATTGATCCCTTCCCCAAACCTAGATACACAGAAGAATTACTAGAATAATTTTGATAGCTCATAGCAGAAGAGGCTTGTGTTGTTGTTTTGGAGGGTGGGGTGATGACAACCCAACTCCCAATATTCCAATCAATCTAGAAAGCTCTTTCTGGAAAATTAAAATACACCATGCTTGAAAACAAAGCTGATGAGTGTAATTAATTTAGCAACTTTTCTACTCTGATAACCTGTTTTGATACCTGCTGCTGTTTGCTGCCTCAGATCAGCATCTCCATCAATTTCAGTTACAGACAGAGAGGACTCTGGAGTTTTCACTGGAGACGGTTCTTTTGGAGGAGGAGGGGATGGAGGAGGCGTGGCTTCAGGTGTGCCGAGCGGAGTAGACAGTATTGTTTCCTGGGGGAAAACACACACAAAGGCAATTGAAAGAAAGTAGTAAAGCTGTTACAAAATATTCCCTCCACTTTATTTTAAATAATCAAATCTGAATGGGAGAGAAAGAGCCAGGAATTCAAAGCTTACAGGACGTAGGATTTCTGCGACAGTGAGAGCACAGTTCAAGGGGAAGTGAGATGGAATATTGATTGGACTTAGTCTAGCATGCAAATGTTTCTGAATCTCAAGAAAACCCACAAGCAATAAATAAAGGACATGTGCTTATTCTTATGGTTAATAAAAGCTTACCCTTTCGAATCAAAACATAAACGGAGCATAAATGGTATTGGGCTACATTTACAATTTGCAGCAGCTACATGCAGAATGTGTGTGGGTTAGCCTCAAGCAATGCCAAGTATTTTCAGTCTGGGCTGATTTTGGGTGAATGCTATTTTTTTTTTCCAGGAGAAGGAGCAGTTTCAGGACAAACTGCAAGAAGTCTGAAATTCTGGGTTTTTAAACAACAGTGGACCGAGAGCCCTATATTTAGCAATTTAGCTTGTCAACCAGTTGCCTATAGACCCACCTTGCAGCAAGTCCACTTGCCCAGGCAACAATTTCTTCTGGTCAAACAAATGGCCAAACTTGTTGCTGAAGTCACTGTCTGACATAGGGAGTGTGCACCTTGGCCCTGGAGCACACACCAGTAATGCAAAGAGTGACTCTGGGAATGTGCAGAGTATATTTCTGCCTCGCTTAGTTCCCAGCCAAAAGAAAACTGCAGTGTCCAGGTCAGGAGATGTAACTTCCAGGCTCGTTTCAGTGCTGGCAACAGATTCAGAAGTTGCACACCATCTTTGCCAAATAGGGGCAGGAAGACCAGAAAGCCTCTTATTTCAAACTTTTGTCATTGTTGCTTACATGCTGCAAGAAGCAAAATGCCAAGGGTGGTATTCAGCTAAGTTTTACTCAAGAGCAGACCCACTGAAAGGAATGAACTTGACTTGGGTCCATTAATTTCAGTTGGTCCACTCTGAATAAAACTTAGTTGAATACTATCCAATTACTACAAAATAAATAAACAAACCCCCAATTCTTAATCACAAATCACAAACAAAAAGAAACAAGTCACCTTTTCTGGTAAGGGTGTTGTGGTCTGAGGAACAACAGCAGCAGAGGCTGCCTGCTGGCTTTCGCTGTCACCCAGCATAACGGCAACTGTCTCAGCAAGAGCTTCATTCACAAAATGTCTAATAATGTCCGAATCCACAGGGAGACCGGCGTCGACAAACAGCTGAAAACCCCCGGTACCTGCTGCTTCAACTAAAGATAAACCAGAACACAGGCAAGAACCAAATATTAAGGCTTGTATACTATTTTTTTTGACAACGTAATAATCATAAATTAGTAAGAATAAAAATGGGCACCCCACCACCAAGACCATTCCATTTTAGATATCCAACCTCCCAAAATTTCAACACACCTTGTGATGGTTTGACCCCTTTCCGTTTTAACAGTACAACACCTTCCATATCTCCTCAAGATCGTTTTTCCTGCGTATTCCCCATCTTACCTTAATGGCACATGTTAATTTATCATTAATAGCTATATCCCACACCTCTTTATACCATTCTTCCATTTTATATTTTGCTTGCCCCTTCCACTTCCTAGCTATAATAATTTGTGCAGCTGTCAATGAATTTGTGAGAAAGTCCTTCATAGCCTGTGAACCTTCCACCCCATCGTAAATTAATAATACAGTAGTGCCCCGCAAGACGAAATTAATCCTTTCCGCGAGTCTCTTCGTCTTGCGTTTTTTTCGTCTTGCGAAGCACGGCTATTAACGGCTTAGCAGCTTTAAGAAAAAGGAAACAAACTCGCAAGAACTCGCAAGACGTTTCGTCTTGCAAAGCAAGCACATAGGGAAATTCGTCTTGCGGAACGACTCAAAAAACGGAAAACCCTTTCGTCCAGCGAGTTTTTCGTCTTGCGAGGCATTCGTCTTGCGGGGCACCACTGTAATGCTAAAGGCTTGTATATTAAGAATCAAGAGTTCTGGTGTCCTTGGGCAGCAAGAGCTTCCCCAGCCTCTCTTACCCTCCACCCCCCTTGAAAAATGGACCCACAGGGTCAGGGGGAGGAGCAGACAGAAATCAAGACCCTCTGCATAAATTTTAAGCGGATTTTTCTGTTTGTGCTAGAGTGATATTTGGATCCAAGGTGACGTGCTTGTGTGGCAAAAGCCGTCCTTGATTTTCAGATTTCTGGCATGCATAAAAACTTCCTTTTCTTTAAAAAGTATGCTACTTCAACATAAGACAAAATCATGTATGATATGGATAGAGAGAAGGAAGTTATTCTTACTCTTCTATAATATTTGAATGTGGTGGTCATCCACTGAAACTGATTGGCAGTGCATTCTTTTCTAAAATCAGGAAGTACTTCTTTACACAATGCCTAACTCACTAGCAGAGTTCACTACCAAGAGATGTGCTGGTACCTGATGGCTTAAGTCAGCCTACCCACAACCTAGTGCCTTCCAGATATTTAGAACTTAAAGGCGGCTTTAGGAGGGGGCTCAGACAAACTCAGGAAGAAGCCGTCTCTCTAACAATGGCTCTCACCCAGTTTAGCTAAATGGAGACTCCAGGTTCAGGAGCAGTATGCTTTAGAATACCAGTTGTTGGGTGATAACGTCAGTGCCAATCTAGCTTCTGACTATCTCAACACCACATGGGAGGACACAGTCCCAAGGATATGCTGGTCTACCTAGGCCAAAGATGGCCTTTGGAGGCCACCAGAAGCATTCTGAATTCAACCAGGAAACTAACTATATGCCAGCCAGCGGAGTTCTCTTAGCGCTGGAGCAATATGAACCAACACCATGCTGCTGTGTTCTTGAAGGAGAACTCCAAGCACAGAACACACGTTTAGTGGACCCTACAATTCCAGCTGGCATTCTTACATTATTATACATAATAAAAATACTTTGCCGCATTGAGCTTATCTGAGGGGTAGGGTAGGGTAATTACTTGAAACCTAAAAAAGGGGAGGGAGTGTTAAGGTTGAGAACTGTGTGTGGGTTATCTTTTTGACCTGGCTTGAGCAAGTGTCTTTAAACACATTTCTCGGTTGAGCTAAACCAAAGCAAGGCTCTAATCATAAATCAGGCTATTAGAACATTCGTTTTCCCTGGATCACTCCACTTTCTGTAAATACTTCCCTCCATTGGGGGTTGGGGAAGCGACAAAGAGAGAAAAATATTGCAGCTTTTGCTTACCGATGTCTGAGGATACATCTTGGTTGTCCTCGCTCTCTGACAAGCTTGTGTTGGGCACTGCTTCTTTCTGGGGTGGAAACATCCCACTGATGATTCGTGCCATTACTTCCTGCTCCACCCTGGTGGAATAATGATTTCTATATTTAATGCACCTGCCTTTATGCTGTTTATACCAAATACAGAAGAGCAGAGTTAGAAGCCTTGGCCTGCAGGCTCCCAGCATCCAAATGAGGCAGCCATCTCCCTCTGCCTAACGGTAGGGCTGGCCCAGCTGCAGCCGATGGGAATTGCAGGCCAACAACATCTGAATGGATGTGGGGGACACCAGCTTAATCCCTTACATTGTGTGGCTAACAAAAACCAAGGCCAAGTACGTGTAACGTGTACGTGTTTACCCATTCTTCCTTCCCTCCATCACGGCCTTCACAGCCTTAATGCAAGACCATGAATTTCTAAGAGCAAGGATCTGTTTTGCACAGGTTGCTCTGTAAAACGCCACATACATGGATGGTCCTAGAGAGCTAATGACATTCCATCAGCGCATCAACATTGTACTGCGCCTGCTCTGGGAACTCACCAACCAACCAGCTTGTTTTCCAGGGTCTCCTGTTTTTCTATGATCTCATCCAGAATGTCTGCTGTGGGCTGAGGAACAGCAGGTGGAAAAGGAGGGCCACTGTATTTTGGAGAAGCGGTTTCTCCTTGTCTGTCGAAATGTAGAACCGGCTCGGAGAATTCCGGGACGTCATCGTCTCCTTCGTCCTAATGACAACAAAGGCTAATTTAACACTGCGCAGCCAGGCAGTATTTCAGTACACCTCCATTAGCAATAAATTTCATTGAGTGCAGGGTCCAGCACGCTCGACATTCAGAAATGTTGGCAACAACGCTGTGCTTCACAAGAAGTTGTGCAAATTTCAAAAAATGGCATACAGACTTATTCTGCATAGCAAGGCACAACCACAACATTGTATGCAGCTGAGTGGGTCTGGGGACTCTCTAAGTAGCACGGACGGCAAATTTTTAGAACCAGATTCTCCTCCCTGTAAGCTCCATTACATTTCTTAATCCAATTTCCTATTCCCATCAGCCATAAGGTCTTTGCTAATGTTGGTAGCTAAGTGCTTTGCCAATCCCATCAGCTACGTTGACACGGGTCCCTCATGAGCAGGGAAGACCATACTTTGAAAATAGATGTAGCGAAAACAACTTGGAAGAGCACAAACCTGACTCAAGAGGGTATTACAAAAGTAGAATATCCACTTACTTATTTATAGTCCAAGATCCATAAAGCTTCTTTAGGCATGGCTAGAAGAATGTTTGACTTCAACCTTTGACCAGAAGCCCCTTGAAAGCTAAGAGCACCTTAGAAACTCTTTTTGAAAATACTCATTTCAAAAAAAGGGGTTACCACCTGCTTTTAAGACTCCTGTTAACCAAAACCAACCACCACCACAAGCAAAATCAAGGAACAAAGTCCTCCTGGGCACAGAAAACCAGGCATGTGGTTCTCTGAATCACTGACAAATATTTCTATCCAAATTTTCTGTTCTAACTATGCTTCATTTACTTTTATTCTTTTTTCCCATCCTTTACCTTGATGCAGAGCCTGCCCTATCCCTCAAGCTCACAGCAGGTAATGTTTTTATACTACCTCTGAATTCACAAGTCCTGCAAGGTAGGGCTTATTAGCATTCCCATTTTGCAGATGAAAAATTGAGATGGTGGGCAACTTGCTCCAGGTCACAAATTATTCCATGTCAGAATAATGATAATGATAATGATAATGATAATAATAATAATAATAATAATAATAATAATAATAATAATAATAATAATAATAATATATTATTTATACCCTGCCCATCTGGCTGAGTTTCCCCAGCCATTCAAATGCAGGTCTCCCACTGCCTTTGACCATGTTCTGCCATCTCAAGCATTGCTTCTAGAGAAAGCATCTATTCATATGCACACTTTACAACTCACCTGAATTTCTGCGACAAATTGTATTCTGCACATTAAAATTTATGTTGCATGCGAATGTTAAAGTTCAAAAAAAGTGTGTGTGTGTATATAGATATATTCACAGACATAAGTACTGGCAAACATTTTCTCCCCACTGGAACAACGGTATTCATAGTTATCTTTCATTCTGACAGCAAATTCTACCCAATATCTAATTACTGGACAGCATTTCTCCCCATAGGTTTCGTTTGTGTTTCTGTTTCAATGAAACCGTCACTGAAGAATTGAAAAATATAACACAGAAGGCTACTACCCTTAGTTTATATATTTTTCATAAAGAAAAAGTGAGTATTCTGCCAAACACTTTGTGGGCATTTCCTTTGCGTGCATGTGCTCTCAACAAAGCTGTTATGAGGCTTTTCTTCTGATGTCTCAAGTATTTCTCCCTTCAAGTATTTCTATGCTTTCAGATTAAAGTTAATCCTTCCACATCTTCAGGCTCATCGTTTAGGCAAACCCAAGCCAAACATGTGCTAGAGTTGGAATGTTTTTGTGGTCGAACACTCGGCCAAGATTGCCAAGGATGCAGGATGAAAGCAAAGCCTGAGAAAATGGGGGAAAGGATCAGGGGCAGGGGGAAAAACCCTGCCTCTTGCTCACATCTTGGAAAAAAAGGGGAAAAGGGAAGATCCTGGTGTCTTTTATTGCTGCTTCATAAGCACAAGCTGGAAATAAATGACCAGGAGGTTTCACTTTACTTATTAAAAAAGAAAGGAAGCATCTCAAATGAGAAGCATTCTGGCTTCTGATACAGCTACAGCTTAGGTAAAAGAGTAGGAAATATTACAACTCCTTCCCAATTAAGAAAATAAATGAAAAAAAGCAAACTGCAATAATTCAACACTGCAGTTATACAAAGCTAATCTCCAATTGTGCATTGCTGAATCTGTTGTCACGACAATGATGATACAAAGTGAAATTGGACGGCCAATTGGATGATACACAATGAGGTTGGATGGCCATCTGTCATGGATGCTGAGGCTGAGATTCCTGCATTGCAGGGGGTTGGACTAGATGACCCCTGGGTCCCTTCCAACTCTATGATTCTATGAAATACAGTTAAGATAGCTTTTTGCATTTATGAATACCAGGATTACAGAAACAGTTTCATTAATAGGTAGCCCAGAATCTCACTAGCCAATGCACTTCTCTAAATCTTAACTCAGGGAACATATTTTGGGGAAAGGAACATGGAAATTCAGTGGTGCACAGAAGTTAGGACATTCACTGGATTGTGATTAGTGATTAGCTTACATCACCTTGCTGACAAAGGTCCGTATAGTTCAAGCTATGGCTTTCCCAGTAGTGATGTATGGAAGTGAGAGCTGGACCATAAAGAAGGCTGATTGCCGAAGAATTGATGCTTTTGAATTCTGGTGCTGGAGGAGACTCTTGAGAGTCCCATGGACTGCAAGAAGATTAAATGCATCCATTCTGAAGGAAATCAGCCCTGAGTGCTCACTGGAAGGACAGATCCTGAAGCTGAGGCTCCAAGACTTTGGCCACCTCATGAGAAGAGAAGACTCCCTGGAAAAGACCCTGACGTTGGGAAAGATGGAGGGCACAAGGAGAAGGGGACGACAGAGGACGAGATGGTTGGATAGTGTTCTCGAAGCTACCAGCAGGAGTCTGACCAAACTGCGGGAGGCAGTGGAAGACAGGAGTGCCTGGCGTGCTCTGGCCCAGGGGGTCACAAAGAGTCAGACACGACTAAACAACAACAATAACAACAAGAAGGGGCTGTGAAAAAGCAGCCAAGAGAGAAGGAAAAACCAGGGACTTGATTGCGCTCAGTATTGGTAGCCTTCTTTACTCTCTCTTTTCACCCTTGATAGCAAACAGAAAGTGGAGGAGCCTATGCCATGCTTGGGGGCTTCCTCTTCCATTCCAGCCCCTCAAAAAGATCTCCAGATGCATGAATTGCTGAATTTCCAACTACTCTGTGGTTTTTTGTGATGCTTTTAAGCTCCATGTGGTGCAAAATTAAGTATGGTGGTTGCAAGCTGCCTGGTAGAAGCAGAGCTTGGTCTTGCTGTGCAGATCCTGTGGATTTGGTTGCACAATACCTTTTGTCAAAGTCTCCTTGGCCTCTAATTTCCTTGTTCCCGCCTCAGCCTTTTACACAGCAGTTTACACGGAGCGGCAGGCTTTTACAATAAGAGGGAAGCTATACAAAGAGGATTTGAGGTGAAACTCCAAAGAAGCAGTGAAGATATCAATAGGAGCATTGCCACCGGCTGCTATAAATGAGGGCTGATTGTTTCTTTAGAAGTAATTTTCATGTTCGTGAATTAAACATTCATCAAATCAGCTTACTAAGAAGAATGTCCAGCGGGTGACAATGGTGACCCTTAAAAAATAAATATCACATTTTCTCCCCTGCAAAGTGAGAAGCTATTGGAAAACCCACCTGACTGACGCCAGTAACATCGATGAAGTCGGCACCAGGAAGTTTCAGTTCTTCGTCCTGGGACAGACTGCTTTCTGCAGTAGCCTAAAAAAATACAGATTAAGTGAACCTTGAGATTTAGGAGAGGAAAAGAACGCAAAAAGCCACAACGATCTTCTTGCGACACTGAAAGAGAACAGGAAAGTAGAGTGGAGTGGTGAGGCTTATATCTTGGGACCAGTCACCAACCACCCACCCACCAATATAAATATGAATGGGTGCAAGAGGAGAGGTGCATTTGGAGTCACCACCGGGGTGGGAGACAAGCCTGTTTTCCCCAGCACTGGAGACTCCAACCACTAAGAATCAAGCCTTTCTTGGTCATGCAGGATAGAATGTTGGGAAGAAGACATGGCAATCAAGTTTGCATCCTGCCCTTCCTCTATAGAGTTCTCCCATCCCAACAGCCAATGGGACTTAATATTGACTTTAGAGACTTCCAATCAAGCCTTCATCAAAGTACCGTATTTTTCGCTCTGTAAGATGCACCAGACCACAAGACGCACCTAGTTTTTGGAGGAGGAAATCAATAAAAAATATATTCTGAATCTCAGAAGCCAGAACAGCAAGAGGGATCGCTGCGCAGTGAAAGCAGCGATCCCTCTTGCTGTTCTGGCTTCTGGGATAGCTGTGCAGCCTGCATTCGCTCCATAAGACTCGCACACATTTCCCCTTACTTTTTAGGAGGGAAAAAGTGAGTCTTATAGAGCAAAAAATATGGTATGTTCTGAGGGACTGGCAGTGAGAGGAGTGTCGGCATATAAAAAAGAACCAAATGACAAAGTGCCTTGGAAAGGTGCCCACAAAATAAAAGTTTAGCCAGCTACAACATTTACTGTGCTATCCTTCAAATTTAGCCAGTTACAACATTTACTGTGCTATCCTTATTCCTGGTTTCTCAGCTTCCAAGCAAAGCAGCCGTGTGAGGAACTGTCTTGGGGCAGTGCTTGTTCCGCAAGAAATTTGCCACATGTGAAGTGGCCATTCGATGCTAAATGTTCTCAACAACAGCCATTCCAGAGCTGTTTCCTGTGATAATAAACTGGTATATTTATGTATCAGAAACTAGCAAGGGTGAATTCAAATACCTGTATCACCTCCTTTGGAAAGGAAATCTGGTTGACGCTGGTGCTTTCGCTTGAAATACTGTCAATGTCAACATTAGGCAGCACCTGGAAAGTAAAAGCCCCCAGATTCAATCTAGTTTCCCATCTTCTGAAGTATCAGGAGGACACGAACCAAGCTTCCGATGCAGTCTTTGTCCTCCCTATGCCATTAAATGCTCAGCCTGTGGCATTCACCTGATTTATTATTTACTCAATTTCTGGACTGCCCTTCATCAGATTCTGGGCTAACCCAGCCAGATGGACAGGTTATGGCCATATAATAATTAAAAAAATAATTATCATCATCATTATTACTGCTTTAACCTATTTTTTTAAAGAAAAGGATGGAGCCAAACTACTGGGTGTGTGGAAGTAGTAAAAAGGTAAAGGTAAAGGGACCCGACCATTAGTTCCAGTCGTGACCGACTCTGGGTTGCGGTGCTCATCTCGCTTTATTGGCCGAGGGAGCCGGCGTACAGCTTCCGGGTCATGTGGCCAGAATGACTAAGCCGCTTCTGGCAAACCAGAGCAGCACACGGAAACGCCATTTACCTTCCCGCCAGAGCGGTACCTATTTATCTACTTGCACTTTGACGTGCTTTCGAACTGCTAGACTGGCAGGAACAGGGACTGAGCAACGGGAGCTCACCCCGTCGCGGGGATTCAAACCGCCGACCTTCTGATCTGCAAGTCCTAGGCTCTGTGGTTTAACCCACAGCGCCAAATGCGTCCCGTGTGGAAGTAGTACATATTCCAATATTCTTATTTAAGTTGCTGACCCCCGAGCACAAGGATGGGGAACCTGAGCTCCCCCCGTTGTTGCGGGACTTCCAACTCTCATCAGTCCCAACCAACCACCAAGGTGAATGGTTGGGAAAGATGGGAACTGTGTAGCCTATGCCTGCTGTACTAGTTTCAGTTTGCAGTAATGAGGACTAGCGCCTTCGATTTGCAAACTGGATTGTCAGGAAACCAACAAGCTCCCAGGAGTTACTTTAAAAGGTGCAGCTGAAGTTCTGCTTGGCCCCTTGAACCTCATAAGTCGCTGGCTTTTAAGCTCTGATTTAAACAAAAGCAAAAACCCACAATCTATGCAAACACACATTTTTTCTGGCCACGAAATAAAACAGATCTCAAAGCTGAAGTAACCAGACACAGAAGATGGAGGGGGGTCAGGGTTAAATTCATAGAGGCAGCTCTTGCCCTTCTGGTTCCATACCTGGACAGTCAGTTTGGGAGGGTCTTTTTTCTCCGATTTCATCTCTATTATGCCAATGTTGGGCTTCTTTACCTTTGGCTGTGGTTTCAGGGGAGCAGGGGGAACAGAGGAGGTCAAAGTAAGAGGGTGAAATTCATCTCTGCTTATTCCTGTAGGCTGAGAAGAGATGCTGTTGATTTGTTTTTGACCTAATGTAAGTGCAAAACAAAAGGAAGCAGGAGAGAATCACCTTTAGCAAATCCTGAGCCAGAACGCAAATTATAAACAAAAGAGAAAACTGAACATGTGTGATAATCTATAAATCCAGCCAGCCAGACATAGACATCCAAGTACACACCCTTCTAGTAACTGTAATGCTGTATTTCACATCAGACCAACAGTAAACTGCCTGTAACACCTACCCAACCTGTTACTTTCCTCATTTCTGTCATAAAGATCACACACACATATGCACGTAGCCTTGGAAAAAATGTGTGAAGTTTTACGGGCCGCCTGCTCATTGACTACAGAGCCAAGCTCAATATCCTTGTATTTATTTGCAAAGCCCTGAACCACGATCTGAACCCTTACGTTCCAGCTTAGAATCATAGAATCCTAGAGTTGGAAGAGACCACAAGGGCCATCGAGTCCAACCCCCTGCCAAGCAGGAAACACCATCAGAGCACTCCTGACATATGGTTGTCAAGCCTCTGCTTAAAGACCTCCAAAGAAGGAGACTCCACCACACTCCTTGGCAGCAAATTCCACTGTCGAACAGCTCTTACTGTCAGGAAGTTCTTCCTAATGTTTAGGTGGAATCTTCTTTCTTGTAGTTTGGATCCATTGCTCCGTGTCCGCTTCTCTGGAGCAGCAGAAAACAACCTTTCTCCCTCCTCTATATGGCATCCTTTTATATATTTGAACATGGCTATCATATCACCCCTTAACCTCCTCTTCTCCAGGCTAAACATGCCCAGCTCCCTTAGCCATTCCTCATAAGGCATCGTTTCCAGGCCTTCGACCATTGAAAACTCCAATGGCTTGATCTCTGATATCATCCGTAGGAGCACTGCGGTCATCCCCAGTTGGTGGGGCTCATTTAACACTGATACACAAACGAGACAGTAGCGTTGCCAGCCCTGTCCTGTGAAATGCCTTGCCAACAGAGATTCAGCAGGCACTTTCTGTCTTAACCTTGCAACATTTGCTGAAAACATTTCTGTGCTGCCAGACATTTCCTGTAACAGTTAGATGATGATCTGTAATCTTAAATATTCATGTGGTTTTTATTGTGTACTGTATATATGTAATTACTATAAACTGCTTTGGTTTTTTAAAAATGAAGTTTCAGAATAAAGTGGACCCTTGAGTTACGTTACCTTCGGGTAACGTAACTTTCGGGTTGCGAACGCAGCAAACCCGGAAGTGTATACTTCCAGGTTTTGCTGTGCGTGCATGTGCAGAAGTGCTCCATTGCGCTGCGCATGCAGAAGCGGTGCCTCTAGATGTGGACTTTTCGGGGTACGTGCGGACCGTTGGAACAAATTAAGTTCATATTCGGAGGGTCCACTGTACAACCATTTTTTATAAATAAAAATATAGGCACAGGATGTGGGGGGAAGCATACAAAAGGAATCAGAGACTCCCTCTCTCAGGCCACTGCATATACAGTCATACCTCTTGTTACGTTCAGTTCAGGTTACATCTTTTCAGGCTGCGTCCCGTGGCAACCCGGAAGTACCGGAAAGGGTTACTTCCAGGTTTCGCCACTTGCGCATGCGCAGCTCAAAATGACGTCACATGCACGCGCAGAAGCGGCGAATCGCGACCCACACAGTCGCAGGTTGCATTCTGCTCATGTTGTGAATGGGGCTCCGGAACGGATCCTGTTCGCAACCAGAGGTACCACTGTAGAATCTTAGAATTGTAGAGTTGGAAGGGATACCCTGCAATGCAGGAATATGCAGCTCTCCCATACGGGGATCAAACCTGCAACCTTTGCATTGTCAGAACCACACTCTAAGCAACTGAGCTATCCAAGCATGCCTATACACTAGGAAAAAGGGTGAACCAGCTATAGTTTGACTTTAGAACCCTAAGAAGAGCCCTGCAGGATCAGACTGAAGGCTCATTTCCCTGAGCAACTTTGTGGGAAGCCAAAATACGGACCTGAGCGCAACAGCACTCTCTCACCCATGCTGCCCTGCAACTGTCTCTGAACCCTGGAGGTACTATATAACATCCTGGTACTGCGCCTTAAGCGTGATTTACCGAACCAAGCATGTTCAGGACTGTGTCTACTATTCTTTCACAAACAGTTTAACAGGCTTCAAACCTGCTGCAGTTTTCCTAGAACTGATTTCTCCTAAAAGCACGAGCCTGAATATCAAACTTCCCCACTGTTTTGTGAGAATTTTGTTTACTACAGTGACATCTAGGAATGGTAAAAATAACTACAGTGAAAATAATAAAAGTTACATAGGGGGCGGGGACTCCATATCTGTATGTACACACACCCCAGGGAAACAGCCTCAAATGAAGGTAACAAGTTCATATATACCCTGATGAAATCTGAATTGGAAGCAACTGCCCAGGGAAGAGATCTTAAGATTAAGATGGAAAGTTTGGCGATAACATCTGTTTTTACAGCATTACGCCCCCCCCACAAAAGTTGGTGGGGAGGAAAAATCCATGATAGAAATTACGAGGAAAAGTAGTTGAAAATAGCAATAGTACTGTAATAGCCTCAGACAAACCTATGATGCAGTTACATTTGGAATATGGTCTCTGCATCTCAAAGAGAGAGAGAGAGAAGACACTGGAGTTGAAAAAGGTGCAGAAAGGGTTTAACCAAAATTATCAGAGTGATGGAGAAAGACTCCTAACTAGGAATGGCTGAAACAGTCTTCACCAAAGCTGGTGCTTTGGGCTACAACTCCCATCAGCCCCAGTCCCCATGGCCATGCTTGCGGAAGCTGGTGAGAGCTGTACAGTGGGTGCTCGGGTTGCAAACGTGATCCGTGCGGGATGCATGCTTGCAACCCGCAGCGTTTGCAACCTGCAGCGGCGCGTCTGAACACGCACAGGTTGCAATTCGATGCTTCTGCGCATGCACGGCCGGTGAAACACGGAAGTAACCCATTCCAGTACTTCCGGGTTTTGGTGGTCCGCAACCTGAAGCGGCTGTGACCCGAGGTATGACTGTAGTCTGAAACATCTGGAAGGCATCGGCTTGGGGGAGGCTAAGATACAAGATCTGGAGTAAAAAGAACCCACTGATGTATCATAACCAAGTAATCATATGCAGAACACACACGCAAATGACTGGCCTCTTTAATTTACGAAAAGGGTGAGGAAGGCAACATACTATGAACAGCATAAGGGGAAAAATGTTTTCTGTCTCCTATTAATGCTAGAATGTGGGGTGCTCCAGTGAAGCCCAAAAGCAGGAGATTCAGGAAAGACTGAAGGAAGTACCTCTGTGCAACACACATCACACACACACGTATAGAATTCATAGGTGGCGGAACTAAAATGGGATTAGACAAGTTCATGGCAGAGAAAGCCATCAATGGCTTTTGATATGGTATCAGGACCAGTATCAGCTGCTGGAGAAACAGCAAGGGAGGGCTACACCCTTTTGTCCTGCTTATGGGCTTCCAAGGGGCATCTGACTGGCTGCCATGGGAAACGGGATGCTCCACTCAATAGGCTTCGGTTTGATAAATAGGCTTTCATCTGATAAATTCAGAAGAGCAGCAGCCCTGCTGTACTTTTACCTAGCCTAACCATTTACTAAGAAAGGGTTCCGATTCCTTGGACTTCATTTTTCTAATAGATCCTCTGCACCTCTCATTTGCAGTATTTTTTTCCTCATTAGGATAATCAGACACACACATGAATACATTCTGGGGCTAAGAATATAATTAGGGACATGAAGCCTCCCCCAAATCATGAGCTGCCTTGCTACTGCATCCAGAAAAATCCCATGTGAACCTCTGCACGGACAAACGAGGAAGAACAATTTGCGGTGTGGCAGCAGACTTTTTTTCCTGAGTGAAGGTGGCTCACGTAAGTTGAGCCTCTCTTTTTTCTTTTCCATACCTAATGGAATAGCCATTGGGATGAGATGCCCTTCAAGAGCACCTGAGAGTTCGGAGGTCTTTCTGGTGGGGCTGAAGAGATACTGGAGCTCCTGATGAGAAGCAGATCCCGGAGGTGGCTTCCTAGGACTGCTGCGCATGTAGGGACCAGTCTGCGTCCTTGCCGATTTCACTTTCGTACCTAGAAAGAATGTCAGATAAATCGTGAGTCTCCGGCAGCTCAGTGCAAGAGCATCTGATGCCAGCTTCAGCCCTGGGCATCTTCAGGGAGGAAGAGAAAAATATCCTGCTGGAAATCCCGGACAGCCACTACCATTCAGTGCAGAAATGGTCTGACTCGATATAAGATGGGTTATTTATTTACAGCATTTATACCTCACCCTTGAGTCAAACAGTCTCTTAGAGCAGCTTACAAAAATTAACTCTAAACCTGTCTCCTAGGCTGTGAGAAGAGCATGAAGCTTTAGAGATGTTTCCCAAAGAGGGTGAAACTGTCCCCTGGGGGGCGCTGGAACGATCCAGGGGGGCAGCAGTAGCCTCGGATGCAATTGGGAGAGCACTGAATAAAAATAAGGGGGTGGCGGAAGCATAAAGAAGAAAATGTTTCATCTGTTGTGTAATGACGCTTAATGCCAGGTTGGGCGCTGTTGCAGGACGGTGGTGAGGGGTTTTTCCTGGACTCTTTGTCTTCACCCAGGCCTGAGAAGTGGATTGCAGCTTGCCTGCCTATTTGGCTAATGACAGGCAGGCTGTGGCGCCAGCCCCGCCACTGGGGCAAATTGGACTGAGCTGGCAGGATGTAGGTGGAAATAGAGACACATGAAAGAACCCAAATCTGTCAATGCATCTTTCTGTTTGTTCGCTTAAAGAAGGTAGATTTCCAGGGAGGTGCCAAGTAATTATTTTTTCTGAAAAGGAGGTGCTAGGCCAATTAAGTTTGGGAACCTCTGCCTTAAGCAAGCTTCAGAGGTCTAAAGCATGGAACCTAAAAACGTAATTTCTCTGGTTGTCACACTGTGGTTTTCTTTACATCTGAGCTTAAAGCATGGAGGGCCGTCAGCTTCCCATTCATCCAGCTGTGGGGGGGGGGGAGCATGCACAGGGCACAAGCACTATTGGCCCCTGGGCTCAGACCCTACATGTTAGGAACTGGTTCAGTGCCATGACCTGCCTAAGTGGAGCTGTCCTTTCATGGAGCCAAAGGAAGCTTGCTCTTCTGAAATTCTGGGAGAATGGATGGCTCAACCGCCTCTCTCAATCCCATAAACATCCTCAAAATGGATAGCAGGGCCCACGCTAATGAGCCCCACCAACCTGCCACTTACCCCAAGCAATGCCAATGAAACTGCCTTAAAGAATTCTTACAAGATCAAGGAGAAATAATGTTTAAATAGGAAATGAAGGCAAACCGTTTGAAACATTGGTTTTTAGGGTGCGGGTGGAGAAGGCGTTTTACCTACCCTTAACACTCTCTATCAGTTTAGGTCTTGGAGGCTTTGATTTGGGAGAAGGCGAGTTGAACCTCAGGTACGGGGATTTCTTAAGTGTGCTCCTGTGACCCTGGTAAATCGGCCGGCCGTATATCTGAGAGAGATAATCTTCATTTCGTGCCCCCATCCATCTTTTCGGAGGCCCCTGCAAAAAACCAGAAAATGACTCTGAAACTTTTTCAGGCAACATGCTGGCGTAGAGAGAGAGAGAGAGAGAGAGAGAGAGAGAGAGAGAGTTGGATCTGGATGGCAGAGATTTGGGCTGAAATACCTGATGGGATGGCCTTGGTCAACTTACTCTCTCAACCTAACCACCTCTCAGTGCTGTTGCTAGAATAAAACGGGATTAACTATTTCAAGCATTTTGGAAAAAAGGTGGGGTGCAAATGTAGGATACAATTACTGCTATTTATTTGTGCAGCACCGTTGGCAGACATGGTGCTTGAGCAAAAGGGCACCAGCAAATGAGACAAGCGACGCCGCATTTGTTTATAGGGATTTACACCTAGATCTTCAACAAAGCTCTCAGGGTAGCTTACACCACCAGTGCCTTTGTACTTGGCGTTGCTTGGGAATTCAAAAAAACAAAAAACCACCAGTGCATTTCTGAAATCGGTGATTAAAATCAGTGCAGTTTCAAAAGGTTCAGCCTGCCACCTTGATCCAAAAAGGAACCATCATGCAAATTTGGTTACAACAACTTAAGAGGTATCCAAATGCATAACCAAAAAAGAAAAGCTCGGCTATATGAGAATCCAGACCTGGAGAATGTGTTCCTCTACCCAAGGTCCCTGAAATCAGTTGCCCTGAGCTACGGCAGGGAAAATATACTATTTATTTATTTTTTAGAGAGAGGGAGGAGAGCATAATTTCTAGCATTTATACTATGGTTGGTCCAAACCTCGGTCCATGGAGGTTGCTGGGCAGAGCTAAGAATCCCTGACTGTTCCCAAACTCTGCAGTCTCACCTTATCTGCTAGCACTGGAGTGGGCTTTGCTGCAGGCAAATGCCTTTTAGTTGGGATTCCCGTGGGGTACTGAGATTTTGCATGTGTTTCTCTGCTGGCTTTCATTGTCTTGACAGCCCGTTGTGCCTCGAGGACATCATTCCTTGCCATTTCATCCTAAAGGCAAAATGTAAAAGCAGCTGGTAAGGTTAGAGGACAGCAAGGGAGCAGCTTTCGACCAAAATCACTAATGGACTCTTTCAACTATCTGGCCTTCTATTTTGTAACGACATGCACTTTCTCTTTTGTATAATTTCCCCTTCAATATAGCTTTTAAAAAATGAAGACTTAAGTATCAATAGGTGGGTCTTAAACGCCATACCTGGATTTCCATGCTGATTGTCTTAATCCACTCATCTACAGACTTTCGGATTCGTATCTCCTCTAGGACATCTCTAGATGAGAGAAGGAAGTGATCTAATTTAGGATAGGTTTTTTACTTGCATCTAGTGAACAAAACTAAAAACTTTGAAACCACCAAGCTTGCCTAATACAGTATTTGCTGCTGGCATTTAGGTATATCAACACAGGATTAAAAATAACTGCCACAGAGCTCTACCTGTCTGCTGTCAACTCATCAATGAAGGCATGCAGAGCATTCCCATCCTTGGCACGGATAATGGCTTCCAGGTTTTCTTCAAGGAGCTTCTTGTTCTTGCGCACTGCTCTCAGGATCTTTTCAGCATCCCTCAGTATGGATTTGGAAGCCATGGTTGACTGAAGAATGGCGGACTTCGAAAGCTCCTGGAGTTCTGGAAGGCTTGGGGCAACAGGGTATTTTTGCTAAAATCCAAACAAAATGGGATCAGAGGTTCAAGTATTCAGGACTGTCCTCAGTGCTGATCAGCCAGATACCCTGATAAGGTCAGCAGTGCTTAATGGAAGCAACTGCCCTCCATTTGACACCAGTATTGTCAACTCCAGTTAAAACCAAAACAAAGCCTTAGGTATTTTTTTTGGGAGACTGGAAGGACATTGCTATGCCTAACAACAAATCCTAATTATTGGATTCTTTTGCCCCATCTTTTTGTGCCTACCAAAAAGCCATGTCATGCTTATAATATTTTATTCTCTTGGTAAGTATGCTGTTTTAAATGTGCATTTCATATTTGGCCTCACTTAGCAATGTTTTCTTTTGAAATGTTTAAGATTTTGTTTTGGTTAACTTTGTTTGTGTTAAATATGTATTCTGTAATTGACCTCCTTTGTAATGTTTTATTTTGAAATCTTTGAGATGGTATTTTGGTTTCCTGTTAATTGTGTTGCTTTGACTGTGTACTTTATATTTGACTTTTTTCAGAAATGGTTGATTCTGCATTGTTTTATTGATGTTTAATATGCTGTGAACCACTTTGAGATTTTTCTTAATAATATAAAACAGTTTAGAAATGAAATTAATAATAATAATAATAATAATAATAATAATAATAATAATAATAATAATAATAATTTGCCTTTTCATTTACTGTCAATCTGAACACCCTGGAAAGTGGCCACAAAACTGGAAATTTTGGCTAGGCTAAATCAGGTTACTAAAATAATTGTGAGCATGGAATATAATAACCACCCACTATAAAGACAACATGGCAGAAATTTAGAAGCGGCACAAAAAGCCCTCAGCCCAGGATCAGAAAGTCTGGGGAGATGAGGTCTTTGCCTGGTGCCAGGGACACAGCCCTTGTGGGTACCAGGAGAGCATTCCGCAGAAAGGGCACCCCGATCACCACCCACCACAGTTGCGGGAACCTGTAGAAGCACCTCCGATGACGACGGCCACAGCGAACAGGCAGACTGATGTGGAGGCAGGTGATCCTTCTGTCGGGCGATGTCTCTGCAGTGCGCGGTTGCCTAAAAATTAAAAGGAGAAAGTGTGGCCCTTTGACTCCCAAGGCAAGCCACACAAGTAAATAAAACTACCGTATTTTTTGCACCATAACGCTCACTTTTTTCCTCCTAGAAAGTAAGGGGCAATGTCTGTGCGTGTTATGGAGGGAATGCCTACCGGTGGCATGCCTACGGATTTTCCTCCTCTAAAAACTACGTGCGTGTTATGGTCGGGTGCGTGTTATAGAGCGAAAAATGGTACTCAGCCATGAAATACGTGTCTGCAACAGGCAAACGCTAGAGGCCATTTGTGGTAGGAGAACCCACCCACACCACCTCCAGCTTCCAAGCCCTTTTGGAGAATCTTAGTTCTCATCGTATAGGGAACTGGTACACAAGTTTCTTCAGTAGAGGTGGCGGGAGCTTCATAGCACTGCATTGCTGCCAGGCCCTAGACAGACTACAGAACAGGGACATTTAAATGCCTGTAGTTTTACTGCAGGTGCACCCAGGCTGTTGCAGTCTGGAGACAGACTGGCTAGCTTGACGCTAGTGCATGAAGCCAGATGGAGCCACACACCAGGAGTGCTGATGGCTTCGAAAAGGGAATGAACTACGTGGCAATGAATGCTCAGCAGATGCAAGCATCAGATCTGCCTTTCTAGTTGTTCATGGTCCAGCCCTGCTTTTAAAACCGAATTTTTAAGGTTATGGCAGAATCAAGGCAGGCAGCTGGGCGCTATGGTTTTTAGTGATTTCATTGCTCACATGTCCTGCAGTGGAATGTTTAAAGGAGCCTTTCGCTAACCCTCCAGAAATTATGGACTACAACCTTCATCAGCCCCAGTGTTGTATGTAGACCAAAACCTCTGGGGACCAGCAAGTTGCCGTAAACTGGATTAGAGGTATATGGTTTTAGGGTATTTTATTGCTCCAAGGCACTGTCTCCATAATTTAAAAACAAACAAATTGACGCAGAACCTTCATAATACTATTCATGTCCGACTTCCACTCCTTTGCATCCTGTAAGGCAAGCGGGGAGAAAGAATCTGTTACACTTAAGATAAAGTTCCCTACACAGATATAAAGTACAGTATACCAGAATCATGAGGCATCTTAAAGGCTAACAGATTTATTATGACATGAGCTTGTACGGACTCAAGCCCACTTTGTCAGATGTGAAGATGGGCTAAGCTGTTTTTGCTGCAAGAGACGAGCGCAGCAACTTGTCTGGAAAGAAAGTATGCTAGAACTCTCAGTTAAAATCTCACCAAGACTATCTGTATGGAGTTGTAATATACACTTGTGTCTTCCTACTGCAGGCCAAAACATCACCACCACCTCTGTGACCCTCAAGTAACGCCCTTATTCATCATGCTAGAAGGCCTAATTTTATCATGCGTTGGGAGAGAGAAAATGTTCTCCTCTTGATTCCGTCCTTTAGGTTGCCCTCCATGCCTACCAAAGTTCAACTCGACAGGACAGCTGAACAGTTACGAAAGCATACTGTACTGCAATAAAATGTGGATCCAACTTTTAATAATTAACAATGCCTCCGCAATCCAGGAAAGGAGCAAAAAGAGCTCAGGGCAGGAGTGCACTCAGGCTATTCCACATTGCTCCCTCACAACAGTGCTGTACGGCTCCAAAGAACTACATAGACTAGCAGAGAGCTGACACCAGGTGCACTGTATGTGGAGTGAAACACCCACTTTCCTCCAGAAGGCAAGCCCTCTCCCCTAAACCCCAAGTAACAATGACTGCTTTTAAGCCAACATGCATCAGGAGTTGTAAGGTGCTCACTGAATTACAGCCATTGCATGCCATTTGCATGATTTATCCTGCTTACAGCTGAGGAGAGTCTGAAAACTGGATTTCCTGGCTGCTACATTTTCATTTGCAGAAACCACCTCTGCAAGTTCAAATTTCAGGCTCCTGCTTGCAAGTATTTCAACTTCTCCCACTATTAAGTTGTTAAGTTGTTGTTAAGCAGCTGGAGGAGAGGACAGAGGGTGAAGAAAGAGCTGTGAGTGGAGAAGGGCCCTCTTCCCATCCTTTGGACCCTCTGGGAAACTCCGCAAACCTGCTGCACCTGGAACTGGGTGGAGAGAGGGCAGCTGAATGGGACACAGGTGTGGGCAGCCGGAGGAAGGACCATGCATCTTGGGCCTGCCCAGAACAAGCAAGTCTAGAATGAGAGACTAGGGCAATATCTGCTGTTTGCAGGATCTATTCTCATTTGGGGACTTTTGTGGGTGAGCTGAGAGTTTGTTTGGACCCGGTGTTAGAACCCGGAGGCTGAGAGGGAGGTAGTGTCAGAAGGAAAGCGAATTGATTTATATATATTAGTAACTTTGTATTAATTTAACATTTTTACATGTGACTGTGTATTTTTTGTAGTATTTAAGCTAGCTGATGTTGCTTCAGTTTTTTGTAGAGATATTTTAAAATATATTAGGCAGGATAGAAATTAACTAGTCAATCAATCAATAATCAATCAAGTTATTTCAGCAACCTGGTCATATTTTGCTTTACCTGCAAGATGTCATGCATGTCCCGTTTCAGTTGCCCGAGATCGTGAAGCACAGCATCTGCTTTCTTAACTGTTCTCTCAACTGGATTGTGATCTTGAAGTGTGCTTTTAGACGCAGGGAAGGGCTCAGTCTGCTGAATGTTCGATCTGCTACTAAGAAATATTTCAAAGTTCTCATTACTCCTGCATTTCTTCTTCAAGTGCTGAATCAAGACTGAATGAACCAGTAGTTGGCCTTCACCACCTACTATTGAGAATCAGGGAAAATCCCAACCAAATTGTGGGCGTTTATGAATCAAGTTACACAACTCTGGAGAGGGACACATATTCCTACAAGAACAAAAAAGTCCAGAAAGGCAGGGAAACAGACGCTCAAGCAAAGCCATGTTATTGGCCACCAAAGCTGCCATATGTTGGCCAAGCTGGTGTGGGTAAAAACTACTTTTTTTACTCAATTTGCTACTTAGCCCTTTTATTTTATTTATTAGACTATATATGGCCCTTCATCATGAGATTTCAGGGTGGTTCACAAGATAAAAGTTTTGCCCAATTTGAGAATTTCACACTTCTCCATCACTTAAAAGAAACACAAGACAATAAAATAGCCATTATCCAAGAGGCGTAAATAAAGCAAAGCACCTGACCATTGGAGGGAACTGAGAACAAATGTTTACCCCAGGTTTTGCCTGTATGCACACTGGTTAACGGATGCAGACACAGCATCACACCTTGTAACGGGAAACTCAGGTGGTGAGTGGATTGTAGCCAAACAAGGCCCATGGAGAAGTAAGAGGAAGTATCAGCATGCTTGGGGTTACCCCAAGATTTGCAGAAGTACTTTTAAATAACCCAACAACCCTAAGGGGGCAGGACAGCCCTCTCAACAGTTGAATGAGGACTGAGCCTGCTCAGAAGCCATGGACTGTTGACGGTCACCTGGAAAAGGAAAATAGGAGGAGGTGCAAGGGGATGGAACAAGGACAAAAATGCCCTGCTAGGATCAAATGGTGGGGGAAATCATACAAGTGCTCCTTTTAGGAGGGGTATACACAGCCACTTTTTCCTGCGGGTTCCACTTGTCTGATTCTAATTCAGTAGTTCAGGCTAGGTACAAAAGAGGTAGACAAAGTTCAAGGGTCAGTTTGCCCTGTTGAGCACAGTTAAGCTCACAGTATGCAAGTGTACTTTTCAACCTCATGCCTCTGCAAACAAGGCTTTTAAAGAAAACAGTCTCTTCCATGAAACACACGTCTCAAGCATGTACAGTGGTGCCTCGCAAGACGAAATTAATTCGTTCCGCAAGTTTTTTCTTCTTGCGAGTTTTTCGTCTTGCGAAGCACGGTTTCCCATAGGAATGCATTGAAAATCAATCAATGCGTTCCTATGGAAACCGCCTTCAGACCAGGTCCGGGGACAGTCTGCCCCCGACCTCTTCTGAAGGCTGGGGCGGGGGGGACAAGGGCTTTTCTTCCCACTGCCAGCCTTCAGAAGGCTGTTCTGAAGGCTGGCGGTGGGAAGAAAAGCCCTTCTCCCCACCTCCCGCCCCGCAAGCTCCGGGGACAGGAGGGCTTTGCTGCCGACCGCCAGCATTTTAAAAGCCCCCGGGACAGCGGAGACTTCTCTGCCGCCCGCCAGCATTTTAAGATCGCCCCGGGACAGCGGAGGCTTCGCTGCCACCCGCCAGCATTTTAAGATCGCCCAGGACAGTGGAGAAGTCTCCGCTGTCCCGGGAAGGCAGGCGGTCGGGAGCAAAGACTTTCGCCCCCCGCCGGCCTTCAGAAGAGGTCCAGGACCTCTTCTGAAGGCCAGCGGTGGGCGAAAGTCTTTGCTCCCGACCGCCAGCATTTTAAAAGAGGTCCCCGGAGATTTCCCTATGGGCTTTCTTCTTGCAAAGGAAGCCCATAGGGAAATTCGTCTGGCGAAGCGCATCGCAAACGGAAAACCCTTTCGTCTAGCGGGTTTTCCGTCTTGCGAGGTACCACTGTACAGAGTTCAGCTAGGAATTATGGGAGCAGTGTTATATAAATCACCAAAAATGGAAACCTCTTAATTTTCTATTATTTCCGTTATTTGAACTGAGATTAGGATATCGCTGCTGGTCAAATTTGGTTTCTAGGATTTCAAGTATCTACAAGCTGTTCGCTTTTTAGCAAGGGAGATGCTTACTGCTCTCTTCCAAAACACCACGGCATCACATTGTCACTTCTGGGGTCGTTCCAAGAAGATGCACTCTGGCTTAATGGGGTTTCTTGAGAATTCAAAATGTGCTCTAGAAGTCTCCCTCCACCTAGATGAGAAAAAAGAGCATGCCATATTATAGCTGAATAGGGCAGAGTATAGTGTGCGCGCACATTCAAATGTGTGTGTGTGCGCGCCCGCACAGAGACACATATATGGGATAGTTACATTCCTGGTTTCCTTCCCAGAATGAATAGCATTTATGTATTTATAAATTATATCTATGCATATGTGTGAGCAGACATATGCTGCCCACTGATTTTTAAAGATAGGCGTGTAGCAAATTGGCTGTAATAATGTTACTTGTCTGAGCATTAGGAAAATATTGAAGCAACATGATGAATACTAGAGAATTGTAAAATTCACATATGGGATTGTAAATAAATAATAAATAATAATAATTTATTTATACCCCGCCCTTCCCTGTTCAGAAAACTGGGCTCAGGGCGGCTAACAACAAATTTAAAACACTTAATTGATGCAACAAAAAAACAGCATAAAAAACAGTATAAAACATGAATAACAATAAATCAAAAATTAAAAATCAATTTAGGGGGGAAATCCATCCAATAAACATTAGATGATCACCAGGGCTAGCTGGCTAAATTAGTCCTATTTGGGCCAGCGAGGAGACCAGGGGAGAATTAGCTGTGGGATCCCAGAGCAGGTAATCTTCATAAAAAAGGGAGAGGGAGGGAAGGAAGGGGAATAAAAGATCAGGCTAAGTTCAAATTAAAGGCCAGGCAGAATAGCTCTGTCTTACAGGCCCTGCGGAAGGAAGTTAAATCCTGCAGGGCCCTGGTCTCATGGGACAGAGCATTCCACCAGGTCGGAGCCATCACTGAGAAGGCCCTGGCCCTGGTGGAGGATAATCTGACTTCCTTAGGGCCCGGGACTTCTAAACTATGGTTATTCATGGATCTTAAGGTCCTCTGCGGGGCAGACCAGGAGAGGCGGTCCTGTAAATACGAGGGCCCTAAGCCACAAAGGGCTTTAAAGGTCAAAACCAACACCTTAAACCTGACCCGATACTCTTTTGAGCTGTAATGGACAAGCTGGAAGGCTTATTTAGAATAAAAGCCTAATACACATTCAAAGAGTGTGAAATGCTTGAAAACTGTGAAGTCTCGAGTGGTGCTGATAAAAAACAACGATACATCTCATGCCAACCAGAGCACTGTTGATGTAGGCGAGAACAGTCATGGTTGTGGGAAAACAATAGCAAGTGGGCAGATCCACATCAACAAGGAGAAAGAGAAGCTCTGAAGCTTCCTAGAGCTCACCCAAAGTTCTTCCACAAGTTGACTGTTGCACATTTTCTTTTTCTCCAACCGGTTGTTCTCTCTTTGCCAGTTTCTGTGAGATTTTAGTATCTTTAGATACCGGCACAGGAGCGTATCTGCGTGGTGCTGGTGTCTTCTGCGAACTAATACCGCGGCTTTCATGTTTCCGGGAACATGCTGGAATGTGGGAAGATAGGTTTGCCCAATTAGAAAAAAGCTGGTCTGTGAAAAGCAAATCACCCAAATTATGCCAGCGGTTAAAATGACCTCAAGATAGAACAGTCTCAACTTGTCAGATAAAGAGAACACACATTTTGCAAAACAGAGCTGGATATCTGGGAGGAAGCAAGTGGAAGATTATAGTCATGCCCATCTGTTTTATAAGTACTTTTTAATTTTTTTTATTAAATTTGCTTAGTAACATAACATTATTATATTCTATAAAACAAGGAATACAAAACAGCATTCATTCATACTACCATGCATAACTACATAACATTAATATATATGGTTTCTGGAAAAAAGGCTTACATAACAAAATCAATTCAAAATACCATCCGGTTTACCTTTCTTTCTTTCTTTTTAATTCCCCCCCTCCAACCCTCCCCCCCTGGTTGTTTTATAAGTACTTAAAACACATGTCATGAGCTACAATACGTGCTTGGAGACTGCTCCAGAGTTATGGACTTGTGGAGATCTCCCCAAACCTGAACATGTTTCAGAAGCGATCTTTCAATTTAAGAAACCTTTCAGTAGTCAATAGTAACCAACAGAGGGAAGTGGAGATGGAAGAAAGAAGAGGTTGCTGAAATTATGCCCTTTTGTCTCTCCTGTCTTCCAGCTGGGACATTTAACCTATTCACAGGCAGAATATTCACAATTCACTATTCTGTTCGTACTAGAACCCAGCTACTATTCAGTAGCTGCAGCTACACAAACCTCTCCATTACTTTTTTCACTACTATGCATTTCAACACAGGGACTCGGATCCAGAAGTCACAGCAACCCTTGGTTAAGGAGGCATAATATTGAGATGTCTCAACTGAAAAACCGTCATTTATGATTGCTGGCAAACCACAAACCGCGATCTGAAGTGGGTTTTGTGTTAGGATCGTGGCCATTGCTCTGCCACCATAGGCTGCTACATCATGACGTGAATTTAGGAATCTGAGAAGACTGAAGATGAGAGGAGACAACCATGGTTTAGCCATTCCATGGCTGGAAGCTCACATCATAGTTTGGGTTCTGAACTATGATTAATTTTAACCATGATTTGGTGTGGTCTTAACCAAGCTGAACAGGCCTCTAAAAGCAAGAATTAGTTTTTACATTATTGCTTTGGGGCATGAAGCAATCCTAATCTTATGCCTGGTCTACTTTTTATGGAGTCTTAAATTGAAGACGACAAGAGCTAGAAAACACACAATTTTAACTGAAAGGAGATGCACAGTATCAGCCTTTGCTGCTTTGAAGTTCTATACAAATCAGAGCAACCCAATCCCTCTCACCTTGCGCAGGTATGGCGTTGGAAGGAAAAAAGCCATGCTGGTGAGCAGAGATAGGGTCAGTAAGAGGCTTCCCTGCATTCATGGCATGTGTTGCCGTCCTTTTGGAAGCTGCTGTGTTGACATCTTGGAAGCCACCTGAGTTCAGTGCAGAGCTAATCAAACGGGACTAAGAGAAAGAGGTTTCAGTTCAAACACAGGAATAGCTTGGCAAGAACTTCCGTGCACAAAAAAGACAGTATCAGTTGCAGAGAAAATATCATAAATACTCGCCTATAGCTCAGGGGCTCTGCCCACCTCTATGGGCTGCCCACATGGCCTCCAGCTTAGCCCTAGACTCCAAAGACCTCCCTCCCTTTATTCAAGGGTCTTCTTGGAAACAGTTCCCCATTTGCGGAATGTCTTCCCTGGTGAGGTGCCTCTGTTTACCACGTTGACGTTCAAGAGGAATTTTTAAACATCCCTGTTCATCCGATGGGTGAAAGGTACCGTTCCTGGCAATCTTGAGAATATTAGTTGCGTGGAAATTTGACCATTTCCAAATGTTTTATTTATTTATTTATAATGTGCTGTTGGCCTGTTATGCTGCTTGGCACCACAGATTCCTTTGGGAGGAAGGTCAAGAAGCTTATTTATTAAGGGTTGCAGTCAATGTACTGCTAAGCCTAAGGTTCTGTCAGTGCAAGGATTTCTCTTTGCGTGAGGGAACATTCTCCCCCTCTGCTTCCTTGCCCCATATCTGCTCCGGGGGTAAAGGTAAAGGTACCCCTGCCCGTATGGGCCAGTCGTGTCCGACTCTAGGGTTGCGCGCTCATCTCGCTCAAGAGGCCGGGAGCCAGCGCTGTCCGAAGACACTTCCGGGTCACGTGGCCAGTGTGACTAAGCTGCATCTGGCAAGCCAGCACCAGCGCTGCACACGGAAACGCCGTTTACCTTCCCGCTAGAAGCGGTACCTATTTATCTACTTGCACTTAGGGGTGCTTTCGAACTGCTAGGTGGGCAGGAGCTGGGACCGAACGATGGGAGCTCACCCCGCCGCGGGGATTCGAACCGCTGACCTTGCGATCAGAAAGTCCTAGGCACTGAGGTTTTACCCACAGCGCCACCCGCTCCGGGGTACCCTCCCCCAACCCTATGGAGCATATACAGGAACAGTATATCTCCTCCTAAGGGTGCCATTCTGTGTGTTTTTGTGGGTTGGATCTTGAGAAGAGCATGCAGAGGTGGGCTTGCAAAAGCTGCTTCCCCCTTTCCCCACCAGAGCCTGCTGAATCGGGTGGGACCAGCTAAGTTGGCCTTTCCTTGGGATCCAACCATGGGTTGTTAATATGCATAGGTTATAACGACAGCAGCATAAGGTGACAGTAAACCAAAACAAGTTCCCTTAATGCAGTTACATTTAAAAATTGTAGCCACGGGTGATGCACAGAATATTCTCATGAAATGAAACAGCAGGGTTCTACACTTTGATCTTGCCATGGTGATCCATGCGACGGTCACCTCCAGGCTTGACTACTGTAACTAGCTCTATGCAGGGCTGCCCTTGAAATTGACCCCAAAACTCCAGCGGGTGCAGAATGCTACAGCGAGACTCGTCACGGGGTCCTCGCCAGGGGGAGCACATTCATCCGGTGCTATACCAGCTGCACTGGCCCTCGGTGGAGTACAGGATCAGGTTTAAGGTGCTGGTTTTAACCTTTAAAGCCCTATATGGCCTAGGACCCTGATACCTATGGGACCTCCTCTCCTGGTATTCCCCACGGAGGACCTTAAGGTCTGCAAATATTAACACCCTGAAGATCCCAGGCCCCAGGGAGATTAGACTGGCCTCGACCAGGGCCTTTTCGGCCGTGGCGCTGGCCTGGTGGAATGCTCTCTCACAAGAGACTAGGGCCCTGCAGGATTTGACATCTTTCCGCAGGGCCTGCAAGACGGAGCTGTTCCGCCAGGCCTTTGGTCGGGGTTCAGTCTTTCTGTATAAGAACAAGCATTAAAGAGGCCTCCTAGCCTGCTCACAGGTCCTTCATAAGACCAGTGGTAACAGTTGGCTCTGGAGAATATTAACCACTCTCAATTTTACCCATGGACCGCCATCTGTCCAGATTTTGCTCTGAACTAATTTCAAGATGTGTTTTAACTAACTGATTGCCTGTTTTTATGTTCTTATGCTCTTTGTATACTGTCTTAGTTTCATGATGTTAGCCGCCCTGAGCCCGGCTCTGGTACAAATAAAATAAAATAAAATAAAATAATAATAATAATAATAATGCCAGTACCTGAATATTCATTTGCTGCTGCTGCAAATTTTCCAGATGCTGAATTCGCTGTTCCATGAACTGATTCATCTGCTTTTCAAGTTCGCCGACTCTCTGATGGCAAGGGGGCCCCTCAGTCTGTTGCGCCTTCAAGATGGCTTGCTGGTCTGCAACACGCTGCAGCTGTTTGTCTGTCTCCTGCAACTTGGTAAGCATTTCGGACACAGAGCTCACTTTTGCTTCCAAGTCGCTCTGGACCTGGAGGGAAAGACGCAAGCCAAAAGTTGTGAAGGCCAGAACTTCTCTCCCCCGAGCCTAGATGGTTGTCCTTGGGTTGCAAGAAAAGCTGCCCTTTAACATGGCCGAGTCTGGTCCAAGGAATTGGAGGGCTACCCACCAATTTCTAAGCGGTCTGTTGGTTAAAAAGGGAATTCAGGTTTTCTGAAAACAAGATCTAAATTCCATTTCCAGCATACACACATGCATGCACCTTTCAACACACCCCCAAGAAAAAAATCTTGGAGTGTTTAGTTTTCACAGGAAGCTTACGAAGGTTTGTTGACATTTTTTAAAATATTTGCAAGTTGTTTCGTTGAGGGGAAAGGCAGGGAATATTTTTTTAAACAAATAAATAATGAAGCCAGTTACTTACTTTGAAAAGTGGGGCTGTAGAAGCTATAGCTGCTGCTGTGGCAGCTGCGATGGTTGTAGCTGACTCTATCTCGCTTTGTGTTGACTTGGTACTGTCCTTTTTGTCAGAGCATACATCATCCAGCAGTTGGACCTTCACCTCTTTAAATACAGGAACAGTCTGAATTCTAAATATACAAAACAGGCATGGAAAAGTGTTTTTATTATTTTCTTTTGTAAGAGCCATTCCCCCCCACCCTCTAAAAGTATTTTCAGTGAACGCGGGTGGCGCTGTGGGTAAAAGCCTCAGCGCCTAGGGCTTGCCGATCGAAAGGTCGGCGGTTCGAATCCCCGTGGCGGGGTGCGCTCCCGTTGTTCGGTCCCAGCGCCTGCCAACCTAGCAGTTCGAAAGCACCCCCGGGTGCAAGAAGATAAAATAGGGACCGCTTACTAGCGGGAAGGTAAACGGCGTTTCCGTGTGCGGCTCTGGCTCGCCAGAGCAGCGATGTCACGCTGGCCACGTGACCCAGAAGTGTCTCCGGACAGCGCTGGCCCCCGGCCTCTAGAGTGGGATGAGAGCACAACCCTAGAGTCTGTCAAGACTGGCCCGTACGGGCAGGGGTACCTTTACCTTTTAATGTCACTTCAACCCTGGAACATGAAGAGGCATCCAGTAAGATGTTTTACACCAGGACATACTACTTGTTCATCTTAATTGGGATTCCTGCATTACAGGGGTTGGACTAGATGATCCTTGGGGTGCTTTCGAACTCTACAATCTGTCTACTTCTTGACGCCTCAAAGTACACCCCTGCCTTTTTTAAAAATTCTGAGTCTGGAGATAGGCTGCTCTTTTTGGCTGTGTTTTATTTTATTTTGAGTGTGTTTGGGCTTCTGTTTGGGGGGTGGTTCCTAATATCACAAATTTGACTTCAGTAAAATGGGTATTTTGTAGTGCTCATGCAGTAACCCGCTGCCTTGCAGGACAACTTTGGAAGAAAAAGGGCTCAGGAGTAAACCATGCACAAATACAGAATGGAGCCCATAAGGCAGTTGGGTGACGCCTTGTATACCGCCTTCTGGCAACTCCTGCAACCAAGCTAGCACCAAACAACTTGCTTTCCTTTCCTTTGGACCACATCAGCGAGGCTGAGAAGGGGGGGCTTGTCATCAGGGCAGCTCAGGACCTCCAGACACACTGCCCAGGCTTGCACCCTGGAGAGGCCACTTCATTTTTTTTTTTGAATACAGTGGTACCTCTAGTTGCGGACACGATCTATTCCGGGGTGCCGTTCGCACCCCAAAAAGTCCGCAACTAGAGTGGCGCTTCTGCACAAGCACGGAGCGCAATAGACCGCTTCTGCACATGTGTGAAGTGTGCAGAACGCTTCTGCGCATGCGGCGAAAGCCGGAAGTATACACTTCTGGGTTTGCCGTGTTCGCAAGATGAAAAGACACAGCATGCACCTAATGCAACACGAGGTATGACTGTATTTCCAAATGTGCCCCTGGGCTGCTGCAACTGGCAGGAGCTCTCCAGGGTTCTAGGCAGAAAGTTAACTCCCACCACCTGCATACAAAGCTCAGTGGTACAGCACATAAGAAGATCCCTACATAAGAAGCTTTCAATGCTGCCAGTTTTCTCCAGCGATTCTACCCACTGTGTCCCCAGCATATTAGTAGACAGCAGTAACACTTTTGAGCCATTAAGGAATTCATAGATGGAATCAAGTAAACCGAAGCATTCAACATTTGCTTCCTTACCTCTGCTTGAATACAGCTCTTACAGCCTCCTTCTGCCCAGTATCATACTGGGAAATAAACATGTCAGCTAATGTGGAACAAAAAAACAGAAGAAACTATACTCATTAGAATCTAAACAAAGCACAACCTTACAAAAAGAAAACAAAGGCCTGTTCGGATACCACTTATCATCAGAATCTCTACAAAGATGGAGATCAGATCTTGGGCTCACTTGTCACTTTATCACAACCTCGCACAGAACATAACATTTTGCTGTACGCTGCCCTGGGCAACTTTGGGAGGAAGGGCGGGATTTAAAATTCCCATCATCATCATAATACCAGAATTTATGGAGACCAGGCTTTATTTTGAATCTAGAATTTCTCTAACATTGTAACCGAAACCCTGCTTTCAAGCAGATTCCGGACAACTACTGTTAGGCACACAACATTGCAGCACAATCAGAACACTAAGATTTTAACTGTTAACAGCTCAAGTCACACCTAAAAGTTATGGACAAAAATATCACATGAAGCCATTGAATTTTTGCCGCATTGATCGATTATGAAACTTAATTTACATTGTGCCTGAGCGACTGTGGTGTCCATTATGCTGTCCCCCCCCCCCATCGACATCTGCCCTCCCTCTCTGCCAGCTTCTATAGTAGGGAAAGATGGAAAGAACCCAGAAGTTGCCTCAAAAGAACCCGGAAGTGTTGACTTCTTCCTTTCCCTCATTCACGTCCCCAACACTGCTACCATTGTATACCTTTTGTGTACTTGACTACTTCGATAAATGCTCGTTTTCATCTTCAGTATTTAAAATATACCCCGAAATATGGGGGAAATTGTCCCCAAAGGACAAATAAAACCAGGAACAAAAGTTGCACTCCTATGCACGTTTACCTAGTAATAAACACCATTGCTAGTTTCAGAGCGCATTTGCAAAGGAGTGAGTTGCATTACCTTTTTGTTTGTTGCCATCCTCTTTTACTTGTGAAGGAATGTGTACTCCAGTGTCATGTGAATAAGCCTGCTTGTGGGGGGGGGGGGGAGGGAGGGATGAGAAGGTAAGAGAAATATAAAATAAGCTTTCATGTATTTTATATTTCTCAAATAAAATCACACTGTTATTTAATTCCAGAGGGTAGCATTGTGACATCTTAACAACTCAGAAATTTATTATGCCATCTGCTTAAATCACAATAAATCTGTTCATTTTTAAGGTCTGGTTTTATTACTATATAACTGTTCCTTATGTGCCACATATATAGAATATATAGCAGATATGCTGAATAGGTACATTTAAAGCAGCAATCGACAATATTTGACCTGCAAAGCCTCCAGTACAATTGCCAGGCTGCGAACATCTTAACAGCTCAGTTGTTGCTGTTTTTAAAAGCTTCTAAACATGGTTTGCAGAGAAGTTTAAGAAAATGAAACACTAAGGTTATAAAAGGAGAGGGAAACTATGAAGTAAAAAGAAAGGCAGAACAATTTTGTCTCAGCTATCACAAATTACAAGTCCTTAAAAGCACCCAGAAACATTTTCAACATACCGTATTTTTCGCTCTATAACACGCACCTGACCATAACACGCACATCGTTTTTAGAGGAGGAAAACAAGGGAAAAAACATTCTGAATGAAACAGTGGATGTATCATTTTTGTGCTTCATGCTGTGGCCACAGGCATGTGATCTGATGGTGAATTTGGGGTGACCCAATGCAAAGATCCTGAGAATCCCTGTGGATCCATGCTTTGTAACCACGTTTTTGCACCATTGCAGCCCCAGGCAACAGTGGGTGCGTGATTTTTTTGGTGCAGGCTGTAGCCATGGACATGCTATGTGATCTGATGGTGAATTTGGGGTGACCCAATGCAAAGATCCTGAGAATCCCTGTGGATCCATGCTTTGTAACCACGTTTTTGCACCATTGCAGCCCCAGGCAACAGTGGGTGCGTGCTTTTTTTGGTGCAGGCTGTAGCCATGGACATGCTATGTGATCTGATGGTGAATTTGGGGTGACCCAATGCAAAGATCCTGAGGATCCCTGTGGATCCATGCTTTTTAACCACGTTTTTGCACCATTGCAGCCCCAGGCAACAGTGGGTGCGTGATTTTTTTGGTGCAGGCTGTAGCCATGGACATGCTATGTGATCTGATGGTGAATTTGGGGTGACCCAATGCAAAGATCCTGAGGATCCATGTGGATCCATGCTTTTTAACCACGTTTTTGCACCATTGCAGCCCCAGGCAACAGTGGGTGCGTGATTTTTTTGGTGCAGGCTGTAGCCATGGTCATGCTATGTGATCTGATGGTGAATTTGGGGTGACCCAATGCAAAGATCCTGAGGATCCCTGTGGATCCATGCTTTTTAACCACGTTTTTGCACCATTGCAGCCCCAGGCAACAGTGGGTGCGTGCTTTTTTTGGTGCAGGCTGTAGCCATGGACATGCTATGTGATCTGATGGTGAATTTGGGGTGACCCAATGCAAAGATCCTGAGGATCCATGTGGATCCATGCTTTTTAACCACGTTTTTGCACCATTGCAGCCCCAGGCAACAGTGGGTGCGTGATTTTTTTGGTGCAGGCTGTAGCCATGGACATGCTATGTGATCTGATGGTGAATTTGGGGTGACCCAATGCAAAGATCCTGAGGATCCATGTGGATCCATGCTTTTTAACCACGTTTTTGCACCATTGCAGCCCCAGGCAACAGTGGGTGCGTGATTTTTTTGGTGCAGGCTGTAGCCATGGTCATGCTATGTGATCTGATGGTGAATTTGGGGTGACCCAATGCAAAGATCCTGAGGATCCCTGTGGATCCATGCTTTTTAACCACGTTTTTGCACCATTGCAGCCCCAGGCAACAGTGGGTGCGTGATTTTTTTGGTGCAGGCTGTAGCCATGGACATGCTATGTGATCTGATGGTGAATTTGGGGTGACCCAATGCAAAGATCCTGAGGATCCATGTTGATCTATGCTTTGTAACCACATTTTAAGTGGGGAGCGAAGGAAAAACAAAGAAGGGACATGAGAGGGGTGTGCAGAGAAGCAGCTGGCTAAGAATGCTGGAGAGGGATTTAACGGGTGGGAGGCAAAAGTTCCCCCCCAAGCCAGCCATCTCTCTCTCTCTCTCTCTCTCTCCCTCCCCCCCTCTCCCTCTCCCTCCCCCACTCTCTCTCCCTCTCCCCCAGCAGTACCGGAGCACAGAGACGACACTTTCCCCTCTGCTTGCCTGGAGGGGAGGGGCTTTCCCTGCTCTTTGTTCCGTTTCAGCAATCACAGCAACGAAACAGAGGAGGGTGGGCAGTAAGACCCTGAGGCAGAATGCAGGAAAGCTGCCACTTCCTCTTTTCAGGTTTCCCTTCTCCGTGAAGAGCGATTTGACTTTTGCTTGATTTTTTGGCTCCAGGGACCACACATTCGCTCCATAACACGCACAGACATTTCCCCTTCCTTTTTAGGAGAAAAAATCTGCGTGTTATAGAGGGAAAAATACGGTATTTCAGTTTGACAGCAGTAACTTCAGAATTACAATACTATGAAGCTGATAAAACTCATCTTGGGTGGTGGTTGCAATACAGACACAAAGGCAATATGCAAAAGAGAAATACAAATGGACAGTCTTCTGATATTTGGTAAGCAAGGCGTATGGGAACAAGCATATGAAATATCCTCTGTAGACCGAAGAACAGAATACCACTGTGCTTACCTCTGGAGGTAACTCTGAGGGCTCGCTATCTTTTTTAGTTGACAATAGTTCTGAAGGTCTACCGGTATACCTGCTTACAACACCTAGAAGAAATGTCAATTCACTGGGTTATATCTCGATTGACTATCTTGCTTATAGTGCTCATACTTGCAGAGCACTGATCAATCAATCAAACCTTTATTACGGTCATAGAGCAGCATAAGTAGGGTGGGGTACAATCATTTAAAATCTGTAAAACATTTTGGAAAGCTAAAATTATTAAAATAGAAGGTATATATAAAAGACGATAAGAAGCTAAAAGAAGGGTTAGGAGCATTAAACGGATGTGGAAGAGCTCAAAAGGATATGACTATCAATTTAGAAAGCACTCTGATATGGGTGTTCATTAAATCTGTAAAGGTGGTCAGAGTGGCTGTGAATCTGTCACCACTCTGACAATGCAAAGGGAAAGTAAGAGAAGACAAAACCAGATGTGATCAAAAAAATTAAAATTGTGCAGGGCTACAGACATACCCTCAGTTACACCTCCAGAGGTTGCTGCTGTTGGCTTATGAGATGCAGGTTTGTTGGCCAACAGTGCTGGTGGAATATCAGCTGCAACATCAACCGTCGACACAGCACATTCTGGACGACGGGGTGGAGGCACTTCCCGAAGCTTCTTCACAGAAATGCGTATTTTTTTCTTGGTGCAAGCAGCAGGCTTGCTGTCAGCGGACACAGCTGTCCGAGGGTCAATGGGCTTCTTTTTCATGGGGAAGCTGGTGGAGCGGATGAGAATGTCACCAGCAGTGAGGCTATCAGAATAACTCTTGTTCACACCAGACGTCTCTTCCACTTTCCATTAACAGCTCACGGCACAGGTGTCAGTTTCTATGAAACAAAACACAAGATGACCCACAATTTCACACATAGCAAATGGAGAAAAGGGGAACACAGGTGCAAGGATTAGGATATCAATCACTTATTGCTGTGATTATGAAAAAATTAAAGGTAAAGGTAAAGGACCCCTGGAAGGTTAAGTCCAGTCAAAAGGGACTATGGGCTGCGGCACTCATCTCACTTCAGGCTGAGAGAGCCAGCGTTTGTCCAGCATGATTAAACTGCTTCTGGCGCAATGGAACACCGTGACATTTTATGTACATTTTATGACAAAATGTACAAGATGCTCAAAAGATAACCCCCTTCACCCATTTAAACAAAGGGGTACTGCATGTCATCCTCATGTGCCAAGGGAGGTTTTGTTTACAGATGATCTGAGAAGAAAAACATGCACAGTAGGCAACTGTTAAGCCTATCTGAAATGACATCCTACAGAGAAGAAACTAAACTGTGATCCAAACAACTTGTATAGAAGGATCGTAAGGCTCTTGTTCACAGAGACAGAATTCCCTCTCTGCCATATCCCTATACGGCAAAGGTTTCAGAGTTAACAGAGATCCTGAAATGGGATGTGGATAGAGGTGCAAGAGTCTTATGTTCCTCTACTTCTACATGGGTTACGACAATTTCAGATGGCTTCACAGAGGGCAATAATTACTTCCAAGTTCCTTGGGGAAGGAAGACATGGTACTCGTCTATAAAGGCACTCAACCCCTTGAACCACAAGGGAAATGTCATCTCCCCAAGATGAACACAAGGGGTCCTAGGCATGCAAACACTTTAGAACTAAAGAACTGTTCTAGGCTTCACTGGAGCTAGGTCTGTCAAATGCAAAATTCTGTTACTGCCATAAATCCAGTGCTGGCTGTATCCAGAGGTATGCCATCTGAAAGTTCGCTTAATTTGTTTGTTCGACTGTCAAATGTACACTTGAAGGAGCATCTCCACCCCCATCGTCCAGCCCAGACACTGAGGTCCAGCTCCGAGGGCCTTCTGGCGGTTCCTTCACTGCGAGAAGTGAAGCTACCTAGAACCAGGGCCCATCCTGTGGAACACTCTCCCATCAGATGTCAAGGAAATAAGTAACTATCTGATTTTTAGAAGACATCTGAAGGCAGCCCTGTTTAGGGAATTTTTTAATGTTTGATGCTTTATTATGCTTTGATATTTGTCCGAAGCTGATGATGATTCAGGGCTTTTTCCCCCCAGCCAGAACTCGCTGGAACTCAGTTCCGGAGCCTATCAGGTGCGTGCTGTTGCCTTTCTAAGAGAAAAAGGAGGTGTTCGTGATGAGTTCTGGCACCTCTTTTTCTAGAAAAAATAGGTTATAGATTTGCACACTGCCCCTTCATCTGAGGATCACAGGGCAGTCAGTAGTGATGTATGGAAGTGAGAGCGGGACCATAAAGAAGGCTGATCGCCGAAGAATTGATGTTTTTGAATTCTGGTGCTGGAGGAGACTCTTGAGAGTCCCATGGACTGCAAGAAGATCCAACCTCTTCATTCTGAAGGAAATCAGCCCTGAGTGCTCACTGGAAGGACAGATCCTGAAGCTGAGGCTCCAAGACTTTGGCCACCTCATGAGAAGAGAAGACTCGCTGGAAAAGACCCTGATGTTGGGAAAGATGGAGGGCACAAGGAGAAGGGGACGACAGAGGACGAGATGGTTGGACAGTGTTCTCGAAGCTACCAGCATGAGTCTGACCAAACTACGGGAGGCAGTGGAAGACAGGAGTGCCTGGCGTGCTGTGGTCCATGGGGTCACGAAGAGTCGGACACGACTAAACGACTAAACAACAACAAATAAAAGCACAAAGAAGCACACAAAGAACACAAAACAATAACCTCCCTCTCCCCCCCCCGGTGCCCCATTTCTATTCCATGTATTTAAAAGCGGGTGCAGGGAAAGAGGTGGCGAAGGGGGGTCCCCCCTCAAAGCTCTGCCTCTCTGGAGCTCACCTTCCATCCTCCTCCCCCCCCCGAAGACCCCCCCTCCCTTTCCCTTCCTCCCCCCCTCACAGCCACCCACCGGGAAGCACCGCCTGTTGCCATGGTAACAGCAGCCCCGCCAACCGGGGCTCCCGCCGCTCCCAAACGGACACATTCAGCCCAGCCCCTTCCTGCGCCTTCAAAACAAATCAGAAAGCCGGACGCTAAGCGCGCGTGCGCCGCTTATTTAGAAGGAGAAGGGAAAGCACGCATGCGCGCAACCCACGCCCCTCATCCGCACGCGGGCGCCTCCCTCTCGCGCCTCTTTCCCCGCCCGGCCGCGCTTGGTCTGTGCCACGGGAAGGAGTGTCCGGGTAGAAACTAAACCCCACTGCGCAAGCGGCCCCACCCTCCTAAGCTCTCTCTCGTTATCGCGCCTAACCTGCCGAAGCCCTCAGGCCCCGCCCGCTCTCTCGAGTTTGTCAGGCTCGCGTCGCTGGGGTAGGACTTGGGTGTGTGTGGAGGGCGGGGGGGGGGGGTTCTAAAGGGGAGGGCGCGGGGGACCCTTTAGGGCGACGCACCCCGCGCAGCAGATGGAAGGTAAAGCTATCCTAGAGTCCGCCGGCGCTGATTCGTCTCCAGCACGAGGGTAATGTAAGATGGGGCGAAGGAGCATTGGGGAGCCCGGGGAGGGGAGACGGTGCTTGCGGTAAGCGCAGGCTGTGGGGGGAGATGAGTTTGTGGGGAAAGGAAGGGCGTGGGAGACCCTAGGGCCCTAGGCGCTGAACAGGGTTGCCATCTTCTTCAATCAGGACTGCGCCTGTGCCTTTAATAGCGGCTTCCCCATGGTAAATCTGCCAGGTGGAGCTTCTCTTAACAGGGAGAGGAAATCCCGCGCGAGAGCTCTGGCTGCATGGATTTCCAAAGCAACCCGGGGCAGTGTTCTTCTTAGGGGCGTAGTTGGACCCAGGGGTAGGTGGCAACCCTGGGGTGAAAGGGAGAGGGAGAAAGAAGCCAGGAGGGGGCGCCTATGGGTTCTCTGCTGACTTCCAGCGCTGCTCCTCTGAGGAGGAAGGAAGGTTGGAAGCATGACCTTGGCTGGCTCACAAACTGACACTACATGCCCTTCACTTTGGGGAGGGACCTAAGCAGCCGTGGGGTCGGGGGCTTGCATCTGGGAAGCCTGAACTCAAATCCCACCTTGGGTACGCTGCATATCTCTGTATTTCAAAGCCTCTGCCTTAAAAATAAAGTCAAACGTGATATCACTGATTCAGACAATTATGGGTGAAGAATGTGTACCTGCTGCCATATCATAGCTGTGGTTAGGGAGTGTGTGGTGTTGCACATGTGTATTACATTTTTTACATGTAAAGGGAACCCCCCCCCCCAACTTGTGAAAGAACCCATACAGGGCTGCCAGAAGATAAACTTGATAAAGATGATAAGCATTCCCATTTATTTGGCACTTTAAAAATGTATCAATATTTATTTGATATCTCACCTTTTTTCATCATGGAACTCAAGGCAGTATGCATGTGGTTCCCAGGTAGTTACTCATCCAAGCCCAAACCTGCTTTGCTTCAGGAAGGTGGTGGCCTCACATGCCTTGAGGCCACACCCTGAGACCTGACTGACAATTGCTGTCCCACAATTGCACATACTTTTCTTTCTGTGCATAACCGTATATTACAGCAGAGTTCTCCCATCGTACAGTGGTGCCCCGCAAGACGAATGCCTCACAAGACGAAAAACCCGCTAGACGAAAGGGTTTTCCGTTTTTGAGTTGCTTCGCAAGACGATTTCCCCTATGGGCTTGCTTCGCAAGACGAAAACGTCTTGCGAGTCTTGCGATTTTTTTTCCGCTTTCCCCCCCTTTTTCTAAGCCGCTAAGCCTTTAATAGCCGCTAAGCCGCTAATAGCGCTAAGCCGCTAATAGGGTTGCTTCGCAAGACGAAAAAACCGCTAGACGAAGAGACTCACGGAACGGATTATTTTCGTCTTGCGAGGCACCACTGTATTTCTTAGTTCATTTGGGGTATTTATATTCAATATTTGTATACTGCCTTCCATATATAATAACCAAATTGTGCACAAGAGTACAAGAGGATTACAAAATTTGGAATAAAACAGCAGTTGCTAGGTGGGTAGTTAAAATAATTCAAATGGTATTAGTAGCCAGCAAAGGCTTCCAAGAACATATATTCCCCCCCAAAAAAAAAATTAACAAGATTTAGGCTGCTGTGTATTACATTTCAGGCATAAACATTTCTGAATGATTGTTGATATATACATCTTGTGTTCACTTTAGGTAGCAGTTATCTGAGCGCTAAAATATGGCTGGACAAATATCAGAATCTGATCAGATCAAGCAGGTAAATGCTGTAGCTCCAAAGGGTGCTTTTGAAATGTCGGTGTACCTAACACTTTGGCAATTTGTGTGGTTTTAATAGCTGTATGTAATAATGTATTTATCAGCACAGAGCTGATGCTCATTATATGCTATGTTAAGTTCATTTCCCTCGGATGCATGTTTCCCCTGCCTACCCCTAATTCTTCAAATAAAGCAGGAGTGAGGAACCTTTTGGGCTCCACAGGCCAGGTCTTTATCAGGATCGGCCTGACAGACCAAATTTGACAGGTGACTACCCAACTGTCAGTCACATGATATCATTATGCCAGCAAATGATTGACATGTAAACAGCCCTTGTACACCTGTCAGAATCCCTTGCACCTACTGCTGCTGTAGGGAAAGTGGGAATTAAGTTCTGGTGCTTTGCCAAGTAGCAGAAGGCGTTTGGGAACCCCGCTGGCTTCCTTTTCTACCTTATAAAGTGGGGACAAGACCAGACGCTTTCTCTTTCCCCTGTTGGGAGACAAGAGAGATAGCTCTACCCTGTGGAGGAAGGGAAAGAAAGGCTTTTCCAAGTCTTGCTCCTTCCTCCATTAAGTTCCCCAATATCAGGGACTTGAAGCGGGAGGGGGCAGATGGGGAAAAGGCTTTGCGAGCCTCCCCCGTTTCCCACTTTTAAGTTTCCAGCATTGGGGACTTGGAAGGATTAGATGAGGAGACTTGTAAAGGCTTTCCCAAATCTCCCCCTTCCTTCTCTGTGTCCAGTGTCAGGAACATAATGGAAAAGGGAGGAGACTTGAAAAAAGCTTTAAGATGGCCTTTTAGCAAATAGTAGCTTATGAGCTGTCTTAATGCCTCTGCCAAAAGCCTTTTTGAAGTATCTCCCATGCATGAGCTGCTACAAAAGGTGCTTTTGCACAGGGCTTGAATCACCATTTAGCTGATGAGTAGGGATTAAATCCTTCTTCCTTGGCTGTGCAAACCTGTTCCTTGCCAAAAATACTATCAAGCAGCCAGTGCAGGATTAAACCTGGTTCTCACGCTCATCAGCTGATGTCACCAGTGATGTCAGCTAATGGGCAAATGTATATGGTGTAAAGAAAATGGTATCCCAGGCCACGGTTGGCCCACAGACAGAGATTCCCCACCTCTAAAATAAAGGATCTGCCTAGTTCTGAAGATCTCTCTTGATTTATTAACAGTTCAAGGAATTTCTTGGGACATATAACAAATTGACAGAAACCTGCTTCCTGGATTGTGTGAAAGATTTCACCAGCCGAGAAGTCAAGCCAGAAGAGGTATGCAGCTATTCTATACCCTTTGGACTTGTACCTGGTAGAACTTCAGTGTAAATTTGCACGTTAATCAAGAAAGCTAGCTAAACCAAACATTTCAAAAGAGATGTAGCTCTTCTGTTCGTGTGGCTCTCAGGTCAGATATTAATTGGATTGAATAACAATAAAAGGGCCCTGCTGGATCAGTCCAAGGGTCCATGATATTCACTCACACAGCTCCCTTATTTGTTAAATGCTAGAGTGAATGACAAAAAAGATTGAAGCCCTACAAAATTGTTAATGGCACATTGTCATCAAACACTGGAAGGCAAAGAAAGCACTGAACGACAGAGACAGATAAACGTTATGTATTTCCCTAATGTGGGTTTGTTTCGAAACTGAGTCAATGTTGTGTTAAAATTCCAGCTCAGTGGTAAACTAAAAAGGGGAGCTTTGGCAAAGTGGTACATATTTGTGTTCAGTTTCCCCATTTTCCCAGAGAAGCAGTGTATTTAACCCTCAAAGTTTATTATACATTTTCATTATGTTATTAGTATGTCTTAAAATTGCCATGGGAAGATAACTTCATATAGGGTAATGTTCAAATGTGAAAACGCAAATGATTTCCATGTTCAAATTACTGAATTTTTTTAAAAAATGTGAGTGACTACAGGGTTCTTCCCATCTCTCCCTTCTTGATATAGATGACTTGCTCAGAGCACTGCTTACAGAAGTATTTAAAAATGACCCAGAGGATATCTATGAGGTTTCAGGAGTACCACATTCAGCAGAATGAAGCGCTGGCTGCCAAAGCAGGACTTCTTGGCCAGCCTCGCTAAAAGGCAGTGGCTGCCTTTGTGAAGGAGTGCCAACGTTGATTGCATTGCACACAAAGGTGGATTGGTCCCCACCGCTGCTGTGGCAACATCCACCAGCTCGGAACAGAAGAGCTCAGGAAACAACTGAACTGTGGAAACCACCAGGAGCTGCAGTTGGGGTTGGCAGTGGCTGCAGAGCTGATGGAGTCTGTTCCGAGATTGTCTTCTATTGTGCATTGAAATAATGTTGATACCACCTTTTTTTCTGGAGGCTTACAGATTTGCTTCTGACCGTCACTAGGTTAAAGATGGGGAGGGAACAACTACATTTTAGTTTTTGTTGTTTCTTAATGACTTAAATTTTAATACACAAGCGTGTCGTCCAAAAATTATATCCCAAAGTGTCTAAAGCAAGGTTTATTTTTTATTTAATCAAAGTAAAATAAATTGAAATTACTGTTTTCACCGAGAGTCTTTCGAAATGAAGTCTCATAGGCTGTCATAAGGTCCTGCCTTAAGAGTAGCCCCTTGTGCGATGCCACATTCTCATTCAGCGGTAGGATCCTGGTCACTCAGGGCTGTCTCAAGCCGCTAGCAGAGGGGGGGAAACATGTCAATGGCATGGGTACTTGTGTACTTAAACTTTTGAGTTCCGAAACTTTTAAAATGTTCTCATTTCCCTCCCAAGGACAGATTTATGTCCTTCATCTTTCTTCTCACCTTTGCAGCCCCAAGGTGTTGGTACCCTTTGTCTTTTAGCTTATGGGTGATGG